GGCTTTCCTCTCCCCCGGGATAAATATGTAAATCCTATCCTATCCTATCCTATTAAGAACGCACTCAACTAACACACTAATAGTCTACTGGACGATAAACAGCAATAATAAAAGCAGCGTAAAAGTTAACAAGAGAGCTATGCCCAAATATATGGACACGTCACAAGGTGTCGCTATTTTTTTATTCTGACACATAATAAACGTATCTCTTGAAGTTCACAGAAATTGAATAAGTGAAAGTAATATCCTTCTGGCAAGAAAAAAATCAATCTTCAACTACTGAGAATTTCAAAGCGATTGGTCCAGTAATCAAAGAGAAAAGCGACTTTTAAAAAACGTGTCAAAGAACAATAACAACATAATATTGAAATGATCGTTATGTCCACTGACGTGTTCAATAACAACAAACGAAGTGAAATATGACAAGAGCATTCTACGCCCTGGCATTCCAACTTCAGAGTTTTAATCAAAATCCATGTGTAAGCAGTCTTTTTCATGTAATCCATCATCAATTATCGTTACATCTGATGTTTGGCTGTTCATGCTATCCTCAGCTTCGATCAGTTTTTTATGATAAAGGCCAGCATGATCTGATGCGTAATCTTATAAAGCTATGACCGTAAATAAATACTATGACTTGGTTTCACCCATGATTATTAACGAAGCGATTGGCCGATATGACCTATCGAAAAACAAACAAAAATTGTATGACAGATTACGAAAATTAAAATTACGAAATTGTCAACTGTCGGAAGTAGACGAAATAGCTGCACATTTTAGCAGTATGTATGAAATGAAATCGAAAAGCGTTTGCTGAAGACGATTACCGTGTTTCCCCGAAAATGAGACATTGTCTCATTTGAATTTCTTCTCGAAAAATGAAACTAGAGCCTATTTTCGTAGAGAATTACGAGATTTTCAAATATATATACAAAATATGAAAATCGATATCCATTATAACACATTTTTATTCAAAATAACAGCAAAACCTAGATTAATAATCATTTAAAACACGTGGCAGAGATTTATTGTCATTGAATAGGTCAAAAAAAAAATTCGTGCTTTTTATTTTTTATCGGGTGTTTTGAAATTTAGGGGGTGATAAATATTATGTAAATCATAAAAAAATGGGTATGTATTTGGCAAACGATGTGCCAGGGGGTTCCGAAAGTTAATTGATCGCGGACCAAAAATGGAAGCAGAAGAATATTCACGGGCCAGAAAAGGGAAGCGGCAAAAAGATCGCGACGACACGGCTGGGGTTCAAGGCGCGCTCAAGCGTCCGGAGAAAATTTGAAATATATATAGGCACTAAAACAGACTGCAAGACTGATTTTAGATACACATAGCATCGCAGTTTGTTATGTAATAAAATTAATAATTATAATAGTTAGGTGATAGAATACCCGAGGAATAAATAACAAGCACGACTTTCAACAATAAATTTGCAACTGATAGTGACTAATAAAGTTACTTGCTGAACTAGCATGCTGCCCCGTATAACTGGCTACTTGTGGCTTGTTTTGTTACACAAAAAAACATCCCAAGTTTACATATATAAAATAAACGAACAACGCATTCAAAAGATTGTCTGTCAGTCTGAACCGAAGTTTTGATTTGTTAGGTCATATTTGTGTTGTTAGGAAGACTGTTGCTGAAAAAGTTACTTTTTATATCAGGAGAAACGACTTCCAAAACTTGCAGCATATATTCGCCGGAAAATTCCCCTTCAACAAACGGGCGATTCCTTTTAGCGATGTTGCGGGCTACAATATAACTGGTCAATAACGTAGATTCACTTTCATTTGATATTTCTTTGAACATGCTTGTTTGACGTTTGTATGAATTTAGCAATGAATTAAATTTTGAAATACGCGCGTCAACTAATCATAATCCGAAGAAGGCTTCGTCTCGTAATGACGGCTAATGTTGTTTTCCCTCAGAACTGGAATATTTTGTTGGCCAGGAAGACAAATCGCTGAAGTTTGATTCTATTCAATGAAGAAATAAGAACGCTGCCATTCATCTAAAAAACGTCTGTTATAGTGTCTAGTTTTCGTTTTGTGACACCTTTAAGCTTTCCTAATATACGGCTGATACTTAAAATACTGTCGTATGTAATCCTAATGCTGGTACGTATACAAAAGATAGATAGATAGATAGATAGATAGTTTATTTCGAAAACTCCATAACAAACCTAAATTTAAAATGGAGAATTCTGGAGGGCAGGCAAAACCTACAAAAAAGTTTAAAACATGAAGTATCTCATGTGCCTGCCCACCAGCACGCACACAAAAACACAAGCCCAATTAAATGAGGCTTGGGCCAAACTTAAAAAACAAAATACACGATAGTAATAAACTTTCGGGCTGTTGTACTCTCTTTCAACAATTACGTTGATAATAACCAATACCTACAACCTCATGCAAAGATAATGTGGGGAGTGGAATGTAATAAATTTGCGACGATAGTCATACTCATGAAGCCATGAAAGCTTTAAGAAAAACCAAGCCATGAAAAACTACACTGATTGCTAAATTGGGCATTGCGGAAAAGGTGATAAGTGGTTTAATATACAAACAAACGCAAAACCATGGCGGCAAATTCGGTGTGCGGACACTCATAAAAGCAATTATTAGGAAAAACACTAATCACACGTGAGCAGGTCTGTAGCCTAATTGATACATTGACGTGGCCAACATTGTTAAAACAGTACCGGTATACACACAGAGAGAACAAATCAAAAATATGCCACTAAATGAATGTTTAAAAATGTTACACTGTAAGTTACACTGCAAACTATTTACACATATATAGTTGAATACTCAGTATTCAAGCGGAATTTCTAGAAATAGCAGTATATCATACTCTTTGTCACAAAATAAAATATCTGAATCAATCCCTGTTGTATTCATCTTTCGATTCTGTTATGATGTCCGTATGTTGCCTTTATGCTGCCATGTAATTTCATATTTCGGCCTTTACTTGTTGATATTCCTTAAGTGCTGGTTCATTGTTGTCAATCTAATCTTTCTGCGCCGTTCAAAAATGCGACCGCAGCCGACGACTGCCAAACACAAACTTCAAATAAGTATTAAATAAGTTATGACTTATCTTAATACAACCAAATACTCCGATACCGGTGTAATTGAATTGTTACGATTTACTCGTGCTCAAACTGTGAAAATGGTGTAACAATTGGCGGTATTTGAAACGCAAAAGGGGTAAACACAAAAAGTGTTGTTTGCAGTTAAAGTTCAATCGTTTAACTATTTCACTCAAGTTCGGCGGGCCATTTTAAGTCGTTACGCGGGCCGTAATTGACCCACGGTTTGGAAACCGCTGATCCACACTGATAACTATGCCATATCCTATATATTTATTTACAAGTATACTTGAGTTGGGAATTACAGTGTGGAATCGCACCTCAAAATTAGGGGGGAAGTTTGAAATTTTAGGGAGGGGGGGGGGGGGGGGGGGGGTGTTCACCCCCTATAGGGAGGGTGTAGGGAAATCACTGCTGCAGACCCTTTTGTCTATTCAAATACCGACTACTGGACTATGCCGATTTTGAGCAGAGTTAATAAGAAAAAATAGCCCTAAAACATATAGTCCAGTCCAAGTTGAGTTGTAGTAAAGATCACGTGAAACGCTGACTCATTTTCCCGAAATAATGATGATTGTTACAAAACAGCAGAGCGCTTTGTCTGGCAGTCCGGTGACAACGTTCAGTAGGTTTCTAAACCTGTACATTTTCTAAAGCTCAGAATATTTTATGAAGCCAAATGATGTCATCATGATGATTATCATGACAAGGCCACCTCTGATTTCTCTCTGTTTTTTTGCTGTCTTATGACGATATGATCTGTTCGGCTTATGTCAGTAGGCCTATGTCTGTACCGGTATGTGGTGTTGACCTGCACCGTATTGCAGTATTATATAGAAAATTATTTTCAGTCTGGCGCACATAATCCCAGTAGTTAAAAGCGCCATAACACAATAATAATTTGCTTTCAATACCTGAACGTGTTGGTTATTTCTTTCACCTTATCTGCTCAAAGAAGTGACAGATGTCAGGACGTAGGAAACATTTGTCTGTTTGTGTCATAATGAGCAGTCAGTGTAGTCTATCCAGTTTTTGCTAATAGATTTCACTAACGACCAAGATAGTAGGGAGAGCAGAATAGACCTAGTATAATGGTTTAGGATTTTTTCAAATGTTTTTTCAGTCTTATCTATCGACTATCATGACAGCATGATCTGATATTAGAGAAATCACTTTAATTTGCGTGGGTAATTTTCATCATCTGAATATTGGATAATTTATATTGAGATAAAGTCGAATAAACTATAGTCCGAGTGAACAGAAGTAGGCTACTAATAATTTGATCTGCACATGCAGCGTGGGGTTGTTTGAGTTTTGCCTACTACAGTACTAGAAGTAGCCTACTTGTGGTGCTAAATTATACCAGATCCTAATAATGTTGTATGTTTTTTAAAATACTCACTTGAGTGGTCTACTGGGAGCCGGGAGGTTGAAAAAATTCTAATTGAACATGAAGTCTCTGCATTGATTTTTTAGGTGGTATGTCAGTATGTTTAATCCTGTCAGCCTGTAGGTATCTTGGTACTGTATCTTGATCAATATGGCAAAGATTTACACTGCAGTTTGTCAAATTGTTACTGATAAGTAGTAAAACATGCATAAAGCAGTTTAGTATTTCGATTTACCACTTATGTTTTTGAAAAGCTCTTGAAAGTTGGAATGAATCATTTTAGTTTTGAAGTATATTTACAAGAGCAATCAAAAGTACAAAAATCGATAAGCCTACTGGCTTAACAGTGGTATATAGCGTACTTTCTCTCATTATTATTGTATCCCGGATACCACCAAGTCCATGCATCTTAACCAAATAACTGGCCAACTTATCGCGTACCTGACATGGAAGCAGGGACCAAGATACGCCATATGATCTTACCGGCTTTTTCCCCATTAAAAGCGTTATCTTGACAACTCTTATTTTAGATACTCGATTGTTTATCATAAATAGATAATCTGACTAGGAAGTTCTAAGAAGTTTTGCAACAGGTTGGAGATGGGGCGTCTTGCTCTCATTGGTAGTGTTTTTATATTAGTTACTGCCATAACTTGGATGGATCTTTCGGAAGTCGAAGCAAGCAGCGTGGAAGACACACCTGTACGTGGACTTAAAACAAAATTTACAACCCCAGTTTTGAAGTTTTTGGTATGTGTCTCTTGAGGGTATCGCCGTGCATCTGAGGAATATGCGCAAATAATTTCACAGCGTTACTCAGACATCAAGATTGAGGCATCAAATTACCCTCCTCCCAAAGCCTATCAAGCTATTGCATCTGCTATCTCAATTTTCAAATTTATTTTTATTGGTTGTATTCTTACTGGATTGAATCCTTTTCCTCATATGGGCATGGACACCCCACAGTTTTATTTGTGGGCACGTGAAAATATGGTTTACGCTGCTATGATGACATTTTTTTTATGCAACGCAATTGAAACTCAGCTGGTATCTACCGGTGCTTTCGAAATTGTGCTCAATGATGTAACTGTTTGGTCAAAATTGCAATCTGGAAGAATACCAAGGGTTGATGAGCTTCTTCAAATCATTGAATACCAGATTAAAGGGAGCACAAACTTTGACAGTGTACATAGTTAAAATTTTCATTAAGTGTGATACAGATTTTGTTTTTTTATGAAAATGCAACAACCAGCCTATATGAGCTAGAACCGATAAAATTTAATGAAGGCAGTTTCTCAAAGCGTTTATGCATGGAACAGCTGGATAAAAAACTACTTTTGATAGGCAAGTGGTAATTTTTTGAGTGTTCAAAGTTCCATGTACAATGATTGTTGCATTTTCTGTCCTGCATCAACAATAGTTTATAACATAGTGCTCAAGAGTGCATTTTTCCATTTATGAATCAGTGGTGATTTACTGTTGGCAATAAACTAGATTACTTGGATATACAGATTGCTGTTACGACTTTGAATTTGCCAGTATTCTAGCTTGAATGTGTGTTCTGCACATTCAGCAGTAATGTTCTAGAACAGCAGTGGGCAAATTGTGTCTGCTGAATTTAAGACTATATTTTGATGGATATAAATTGACGCATTGAAAATATCGATGAAACTAATGTCATATTGAGCTTGATTGCTACATTGTGATTCTTATTGTATAAGCGTTATCCTATCTTTTGTAAATTAACCCGTTTTTCTTATTGAGTTTTGATCCTCCAGCTAGGGTTGCCACTTCTGGATACATTTTCTTTCGAATCTTCGAATCTTACCGATTCTGATTCCATTAAGTTTTTTTTTTTATTGCATTCGTATGTTTGCTCAAAGTCACAAAAAAGCTCAAATCTTGAAAATGGAATATGCTATATAGCAAGGATGATAAGGGTTTTCAGTGAATAAGCCACTTATTTTAATCATGATAAAAAAGATGTAGGTCATAGATATCAACAATAAATGCTTTGATGAAAAACTTGCTGTTGCAACTTATCCGAGTCTTACAATACTGAGTTATTATTGTGTTATACTTGTATCAGAACTGAGGCAATTTGATGGAATTGATACGACACAATAAGCAGGAAACAGTTGTACTGTTATGTCATAAACACAGTAACAGCACTGCTTTCCCTAGTCCCACACCAGTATATGTACCGTGGACCGTGGTATTTCACTTCTTGTTATATTGAATTACGACCGGCCTTATTACCGATTCTTTATCTTCAAAATTTTAGTACAATATTTTCTATCTATGCTAGCAGCATAGAATAATACAACAAAAACATTCTAATTGCATCTGAATTACCGTAAATGGAAAATGTTTACGTGAATATGATTGAAGACGATAAAATCAACCACGATTAAATTAATTTCGAGAGAAACGATGGTTCACCAGACTACGATTGCGAACAAAAATTTCCATAAATATTAGAGACAATATTATTTGTGGCTAACAGCGTTATTGGCTAACTCGGGCTTCATTATTAAAAGTAAATACTACTTTTTTTTGTAACAGCTGAAAAAAGACGTATGTACTATTACATTATGTCCTCCTGATTTCGTTTACCGCCACTCGAGTGGAAGCCTGACAAACGCAAACAAAATAAATATATATCTTAGGATGAGAAACACGATTGTCAATTAACATTGCCGGCCCATTCAGTAATAGTTCTCTTCAAATGTACGCGAAATATTGCTCTCATAACAAAGTTTAAATTAAATATCAATCAAATTTAAATATCTAGACGTCGGTAGCTGATTCTTTATCCAATCATGCCAGGGCGTACAATAAATTAGTCGCAGCGCAGGTGTGCTGTTAAACATTTTCATAAAAATCGTCCCGAATTTTCAGGTATACGATCCATTTAAATTCGCGCATAATAGAAACTTAGGATATTTAGTGGAAATCTGAACCCGCAGTTTGGTGGAAATTACTCCACACATCATCTCGAGTGATGCGTAAAAGAGTGTGTTGTGCCGAACTTGAAACAAATGACGGCAGATAAGTAAAAAAGTCAATTACGTAAAATTCATTTACTTCCGCCCCGTAATTCGGTGTAATAGAGTGCCGCATAAACGTATTCGGCAGTTTTAACGCCGCCGAAAACAACGATTAACAAACGTTCAATGTATTTCTTCCGGGCCCGTAATTCGGTGTTATTTGGAGTGCCGCATAAACGCATTCGGCAGTTTTAACGCCACTAAAAACAACGATTAACAAACGCTCAATGTTCTTTTTTCGGTCCCGTAATTTGGCGATATTTGGAGTGCCCATAAACGCACTCGGCAGATATAAAGCTGCCGAAAACAACAATTTAACAAACGTTCAATGTTTTTTTTTTCGGTAAATTGCTCTCTTTTTCCGAATCGCGTAAATATGATTCGAATCGATTCCGAAAAGATGCGATTCGAATCGATCCGATTCGTAAATCCAAAAGTGGCATCCCTACCTTCAGCCCCGCCTAATTATTTGTAACTAGGCCACCCCCGTTATGGAATAATGCTGTTATTCCTTGAGTTTAATTTTCACAACCCAGATCAGATTGGCAAATGAAGACTAGTTTGGCCTTGGTCAAGTATTCGATTTTCTGCTGCTTCTCTTGCCAGAACGGTATAATGGAGCTCGACAGAAGAAGTTCTATACTACCAGTATTATCCCCAAAATGTGTTGACATCCAACACTTTTGTTCGTTGAAACTCCAATCAAACTCAATATAGAATGAACTAGTTTTAGCCCGGCGTTGTGGCCCACCTTCGAATCCCATGTGGGAACGGCTGGAATCACCACCACTGTAGGGTGATTCACGTAATCGCTGGTCAAACTAATAGGTAAACTAATCCGGAACCGGACGAAAGGCCGTGGTTCGCCATATGGTTAAGCCGTCTTGTCGGCTTTCCTTGACCTGGGATAAATATGTAAATCATATCCAAGCATACTGTCAGTTTAAAACAAGCTAACAAAAAATACTCCTCACCCTTAAATTTTGACTATGCACTCTCTACCTCCATATATAATCACACCGTTATATATTTTTGCAATGAATGAATGTATCAAGGCAGTAACAGGCACCTGCACTAAACAAATCTCGCAAATTACTACCAGTGTTGTGTCATGCATATAAACAAACAATGAGAACGCTGATGATTGACGCTGCGTAAGAGCAATTATGCATTGTTCCCTTGTACAGAAAACCTATTGTTATATATGCAATATTTACACATTTCAAAGTTAGCTTGACATTGAATCGCATACAACTATGTCCGTTGTAATCTGGAAAAAAGGCATAATAATATTGTACCCGAATTCAGTGTTATTTCGATATACAAATCAATTACATTCCAGCATTTCCTCATCTGGTTCAGTGATAATTTCCAGCATCGCCTCTTCTTTTTTGTTTTGTGGTAGCAGCCGGTGATTTGATCAGATTGATATTTTGTTTAACCTCACGGAAATCAGCTTCTTTCATAAGCTGCTTGCCAACCTTCAGTCTATTCATTATAAATTGATTTTGTCTCTTTGTTTTTATTTCCTCAACCCGTTTCATTGCTTTGATGCTCTTCTCCCATAATTCCCTGTCGTACTTGACTGGACAATTTTTTCTCTTTTCAAACTCAAGTGAAGCATCAGTAGTAAGTTCCTTGTTGTGTGACTTACGAAAAGCCTTGGTCCATCTGACTTTTCTAGGATTTCTCTTTTTCTTAAAAGACTTTTTACACTTTGACCGACAAAACCTGAACATTTTGCAATCATTTCGTACAAAACAAATTCCATGTCCAGGATAGATCGGAGAAGAACAAAAGTAACATTTTTCAATGCGCATTATGCAGTTTGTATTTTATATACTAACTGTAGAGTTAAAATAGTACAAAGAATTGATTTAAGCACTGAGGTTTCCAACAGATATTACTACAATTGCATGCAGTGATGTAAATTTGCATACAATAATAACTTACAATGAGGCATCAACAGGTTCCAATGAGTCAAAATTTTGTTTATACATCAACAACATTATGATTACAAATTCATTCATAATAGAGAAGAGGCTTGATATTTAACTATCCAAGCTGGGCTATTAATTGATGAATAGAATTGAGATTTATATAGGCTATTTATCGATGGGAGAGGAAATTCAATAAGTCGGCCTAAAAATGTTGCTGTATTGCAAACCACGGCTCTCATCTGGTTACGGTACCAGTCCATGTCGGTTATAGGATAAATTATCCAGTTCAGCAGTTATTTGGGGTCTCATGTAGTTTCGTACCTAACGTACTTCTAGTGGGCGTAGCATAACAATTTTTTGATGTGTCAATCCTAACCCCCATCTGACTACGCCATCCAAAAATTAAATCCCTACGACATCACAATCACGGCATAGAGCTTGCCAAATATACGCATGATCGACCGAAACGGCATTGGCGCCGACGATAAAAAACTGACTGACGTTATCGGTCTCTCTCCTATTGGAATCGTTGCGACAAAAAAACGAGACAACTAACTGTTCGATTTCGGGTGCTCGTTTGCGCGTCTTGGATGGCAGTTCGTATAGTTTGAAGGGCTCCATTACGTCACTGTGACGTCGTAATGACGTAATTTTTGGATGGTGTAGTCAGGTGGGGGTTAGGATTGATACGTGAAAAAATTTTCATGCTACGCCCACTAGAAGTATGTTAGGTAGGAAAGTACATGAGACCCGTTATTTGTTTCAGATGCACAAACTTGGTGGTGACAGGGTGGACAAAGGGGTCTCCCTAAAACCAGTCACTTGCGAATTCAGGCACCATTTCAGGCACTTTGATATTTTTTATTTTTACCGTACGTCATTGGGATTTCCAATTTACCTGACAAGATAATTAGACTTTAAATAATTTATTGCATCCCTATATTGCAATAAAACAATATTATTTCCAATTTATTAGGGTATAAATAATTTTTCAATAGTAAAATGTGGCAACATTGATTACAAAATATAGAAATCAGGCACTTGGTCAAAACCTATTTTACAATGTATCTGATTACTCAAAACGCTCAAATTGTTGTGGAACAATGAATTTGCGTTAGAAAGCAAAGAATAGTAAGTGCTGACGCAAATAATCTAGAAAAATTGTTGCGAAAATATATGGCAACTGTTATCGAAAAAAATGAAAAATCGGGCACTTGCGAAATTTGACCCCTCATGACCAGTCCCAATCGTTCTTGTTTTTTACCAAAAAGACGTCATTTCAATCTTACAAAAGAGTGTATATTTTAGTTTTCTGCTTCAAAGTAAGTAAAAACATCGAGAAATAGGTTTTTACGAAGTGCCTGAAATTTCACAAGTGCCTGGTTTTAGTATTTTGTGCTTGAGGTTGCCAGATTTTATTATTCATATTCAATTTCAAATAAATCCAGAAAGTACGATGGTTGACCATATGTTGTCAAATGGTATTGCTCATTGCAATATTAAAAACGCTCAAATTGTTGTGGAACAATGAATTTGCGTTAGAAAGCAAAGAATAGTAAGTGCTGACGCAAATAATTCAAGAAAATAATTGCGAAAAAATATGGCAACTGTCACCGAGAAAAATCAGGCACTTGCGAAATATGACACGTCTCCATCAGTCACAAACGGTATTGTATTTTACCAAAATGTTGTAAATTCAACCATACAAAGTGTATATATTTAATTTTCTGCTTTAGAGTAATCAGATACATTGTAAAATAGGTTTTGACCAAGTGCCTGATTTCTATATTTTGTAATCAATGTTGCCACATTTTACTATTGAAAAATTATTTATAGGCCTACCCTAATAAATTGGAAATAATATTGTTTTATTGCAATATAGGGATGCAAAAAATTATTTAAAGTCTAATTATCTTGTCAGGTAAATTGGAAATCCCAATGACGTACGGTAAAAATAAAAAAATATCAAAGTGCCTGAATTCGCGAGTGCCTGGTTTTAGGGAGACCCTGGACAAAGCCCTAACCTACCAGCGATTACGGTATGTGAACCAGCCTAAGCTACGAGGAGTCCAGCAGTCCTCTCGCACATCATTATCACGCCACAGGATTTAACACGGCAAACCCGCCAAGGCTAAACATTGACTATGCGCCACACCTAGCTAACACTACCTGACCTGACCATGTCATTATGCCCAGGTCTGATCAACTTATCGTCTGGCAACTTTCGCACCGGTACCCTACCGTAGCCATACTGCCATTGCCTAAGTTAGCTCAGAAATTGAAATATACTCAAATACTGAATACAAAAGGCTGATAGCAGTGTATGAAGTAGGAATTGGAACAAACGTGCTGTCGGTATTGTAGTGTTTAGAGTCAAAAATTTTGGAATCGGTTAAAAACAAGCAAGAGGCTGTTTCGCGCTATAATAGAACCGAAATATAGTTATTTATATGCTTATTATTTTAGTTTCTAATTAGCATAACGTGTGATTGAATATTTGACAAAATTGATTACAAAACTAATGAAGCAACCAAAGCACGGGGACCGTTTACCAGTTTACGTCAAGTATAAATATGAAAATCCATATGTTCACTGGGGTGTTTCATTTGTTCCCTGTTTGCATGGGTGCATGAATAGAAGAAATCTGTCGTCCTGTGGCGGGGAAAAGTACTATCATATATATATTAGGAATAACTCATCTTCAATTTACAACCAACGATTGAAAACCAATCTCTTGAGTAGACATAATTGGAATATAGGCTATGTACTCACAAATATATTGCCAAGATTAAAAAAAACATGATCGGTTATATTTAATAAATGAAATTCCGATCACCAATTGTGACCACAACGTTTTTATTCTCATTACAAGTAATGTTTGTTACAATCATCTTCTTTCAACAAGTACCGGCGTGAATATATACCGGTACCAAAAATTTCTTTCAGGGTTTATTAATATTATTCCAACGTTTGTTTAAATGATTTTTTCAGCAATTGGAATGAAATATGAAAATATGATTTTTTTTACGAGGATCGAGTTTTATATGAATATTGACTAAAGCAATCAGTTAATCATAGGTGCGATGGCAAGCGTATTCTTAACGTACGGTATACCGGTACCGTAGTAGTCTATATTTACGATAGAACGATGCGCCACACCGCCGAGTCGATTACAGGTAATTATTTAATAGATAACCACTCAATAAAATAGTTATATATTTTAACGGTAATTTCAATATCGGCGCTCTTCGGTGCTCCGATCAAAGTGACTATACTGTAATATATTATTGTCACTTTGGCTCCGATAAAGTAGCACAGTGGTACGGGCACCCTCATCAGAGGTTCAGCCAGAGCAACCTATAGTGGTGGTAGCATAAAAGTCATATTGGGGATGGCAGAATAGGGATGGCGAAATACGGTCGAAAGGTGGCAGATTAGGGATGACGAAATAGGGACGAAAAGTCAAATTGGGGATGGCGAAATGCGGTCGAAGCGTGGCAGATTAGGGATGGCGAAATGCGGTCGAATGGTGGCAGATTAGGGATGGCAAAATGCGGTCGAAGCGTGGTGGCAGATTAGGGATGGCAAAATGCGGTCGAAGCGTAGTGGCAGATTAGGGATGGCAAAATGCGGTCGAATTGTGGTGCAGATTAGGGATGGCGACGTTTGAGAAAGTGAAGGGCATGGTGTCAGTGTTACCGTACCGTACATCGGTACCGTACGAACATTTTAAGGTTCTTAAGTTTAGCATGTAGCCCGAATGTACCTGCATATGCCAGGATACGGTAATAGGTACCACCTACCGGTACGTACGGTACCGTAGTGAGTACGGTACCGGTATGTTACCCATTACAGCATTAATCTGTTAATGCTAATCCAGTCCTTGACGGCATGGCAGCATGGGCAGCGTAGAGAATGGCAGTAGACAGAAAATAAGAGATTTAACATTCTTCTGGTTCAAATTAGGCTACCCTGGCAATTGTTTTGGTGGTAATTACAAGGACAGTACGGTACCAAGACTTGGACTTTTAATTAATATGGTAACGGTAGACTACCGGTACGGTATCGTATCATTGGACTACGGTATGCCTTCGCGGTGGAATTATTGTGTGGCAAGATGTAGGCACGAACACGGTATGTCAAATTGGGACTGGTAACATTGCAGCATTGTGTGGAGCAAGCGATAAACTAAAAAGTGAAACTGCTAAAGCCATTTGACTGTTTGAGTGAACTCCGCAGACCTAAGCAAAAAGTTAATATGCATTCTAACCATTTGATATATTTAATTGCTGAATTGTCTAACTTCAAATTAGCAGTGGTGTGGCTCATCGTGCTAAGCCTGTGAGCGGAATAAGCTTGGCATTGCACCTCTTATTACTTACACTACTGCACTATGTCAGTCTGTGTAGGTTCGCAGGGTAAATGTGGAGATTGTTAGGAATACGCTCGTCACCCCATGGTTATGTGCGAGAGGATTACTGGACTCCTCGTCGCAGTTGGGTGGTTCACACAACTGCTGTTCGGTTACAGCTTCCTCCACCATCTGGTCCATTATCTCTCTCCTGGGATAGATATGTAGATCCTATCGTTAATCCGAGCGAGACACATGTCATGTTAATTAACTGTAGTAAAAGCCCTGAACTTCCAATTCCATTATAAAATTTGATCGTAAATGACATTAAGTCTATAATGACTACTTGAAACTCTGTCAAGTATTTTGATATAATTTCAGATATGAAGATTAAGGTTATCTAGTCTTTAGGGATATTGCTGCAATGACTGAAGTGAGTCTATTTGTGCCAGAAAGGGGATCAAGAACTTTATAGTTTGCACTTTCAACAAGAGAGCAATGCTCAAATATATGGACATGCAGCCTGAGCGAAGCAGTAGTCCAGCTTACCTTTGACGGTTCGCTAAACACTAGAAGCACCAATGTTCGCTGACCTCGTGACTCGCTGCGCACGATGAACCGCCACATGGTGGCAATTTTTGATGAGGTCATAGCACAAAAGAAATGAATTCCATACAGCTCTCAGAAATATTGGAAATACATGAAAGTAATAGCCTTCAGGCAAATCAATCTTAAACCATTGAAAATTTCAAAGCAATTCGTCCAGTAATCAACAAGAAAAGCGGTTTTTCAATATGTGTCAAAGAACAACAACATAATAACAAAACGATCCATAGGTCCACTACATGCCCACAAATGAATTGTGACATGGGACTTGATATAGTTTTATCTCCAAAACTATCTTTGTACTTCAAAACTGTGTTTTGAATTGGTTCAATCTGCAAATATTCTGAAACTTGAGAATGTTTATGAATTTGAAGTGCTGAAACTTACGTTTCAGTTCAGATTTGGTATCATTGCTGATCATTGCTTCGGACAACTCATTAAAAAGTAATAATAATCGTTCAGCAGACGGAGGTTCCTATTTTGTTATAGTTAACTTTACCCTGGTACAAAAATGTATTGAAGATACTTTCTAACACAATAGCTTTGTGTAGTATTTCACAAGTTCTTGGAATATGATTATGTTCAAATTTCATAAAGGAACCATTCTAATCTAGTAATATTTAATATTTATTTAGCATTTTAGCTTATAAGGCAAATGTTAAATGAGAAATTAGATACTTGTTATTTGTAAAGGGCATGTAAAGCATTAAACTTTAGTGTATGTTTGCTAATCCATGTTAGTAAGAGTTGTTTATTTGCCATAATTGCTTCTATTAAAATAATTTTCCTATTTTTGTTAATGTAACTTGGATCAATCATAAAAATCACTCTCATTGTTAATCTTGTTTTATAGTTTATTTATTGCTACTGTTTTTTATGCAAACTGTATTCCAATTGTTGCATCCAAGGTTATCCATCCAGCTAATCTAAACATTTTTGTGACAGATCAACTTTTTCATAGATTTCACCTAATAGCACATAGTCAGCCCTATAGTTATCATTTTATTTACACAAACATTTGAAAGAGTGCAATCTCCTGGTCTGATCCTTTACTGCCACGAATATTTTATCATTTCGACTTGCTACTAGTATGCAATCTCACTTACTTTTGTGATTTCCATTTTCGTGTCTTGAAGACATTCTCATAAAATTCAGTTCCTAACCCTACCTAAAATCACTGAGATCACACAATCGCTGAGTTTGAATACCTTTATATGTTTAATAGGTGCTCCCGTGTGTGCATCCCGTCCCATCATGTGCACCAAGATGGCACACAGCCTGAACATAGTATGTGTACCACGTTAGGGTTATCAGGTTGTACGCCATCTCAGTGCACATACTACAGAAGCGTCGTTTAATAACCTAATAGCTCTATTTGTGCTACTGTTCAAATTAATATCACTGACTTCAACTTGTGTACACAAATTCCAAATATTTATTTTTTTTCTCCAAATAACGTGCAACATACTAAATTGTATTTGTTTGAGATTCATTTTTCCAAGATACAGAATTATGTTTTAATTTGCTTTCAGTATTTTTTGCTAATTATTAAACACTATTTATGGGGACTGTAGCATTTGTGTACACGATATTATATACTTTGTCTAGTCCTTGTTTGTTTTGAAGTCAATCAATAAGATCTGATTTCATTCATGAATCATAACCACTTTGTACTAATGCATTGTCTGCAATCCTAAAATAACAATTTCTCTGCTACTACTCCATACTGTGTTATTTTGTTCTTGTTATAAGATAAACTTGTTATTTATGTGGGTGGGTGCATATGCTGTTATATATATTCTATAATGAAGTTCCTGATTACTTTCTGTAGCAATAGTTTTCAGTGTGTAATCTTGAAATCTTGCAGTGAAAATATGTCTTCCCCCAGATAATGTCCTAGCATTTACTAAGTCCTTTGGTTAAGTTCATGTTTTAATATGCCAAACTATGCATGGAAACACATGTAATTGTGTGACAACATTTCGAATCAATATGATATACTGGTGTTATATGCTTTCATTATTATAGAATATTGTAAATTAATTTCTCAATAATGTAATAATTTTTTATTGGTTGGATATCCCAATTTTTGTGTTCACATTTTGAACCTTACTGTAAATGATGTAGGATTTCCCATTTTGCATTTATACCCGATATCTTTATAGCATCATGTCATCTCAAATTATGTGCTTCATGTTATCTCAAATGTCATCTCTTTATTTCCGTTTACAACTTCTTTCTTGCGCGCATGTATGAATAAACATGCATGGTTCACTAGCATTTGCATGTTTTCTCATGAATGTCCTGCTTGTAATTTTCTTAAAAGCAGAATGAAAAACTATTGTAATTTATAATTTAACATTGGTGTTCTTTCTTCTATTTTTATTAATTCCCGGTAATCAGGGAAATGCTGATGCTGACACTATTGCTGATACTAAGCGCTCCAATTAGCATTTAACCCTCACTCTCTATGCCTTCCAATGTCATATATTTCTTGTTGCTTGTGAACACTATTTTTTCAAAAACGGGAATATTCAATTCATCACTTTCATTAGGTGCTGTATACATGATTCATTCTGGTCTTTGAAGGAATATACTCTCACTCTCATGTCAGTGCGCTTTCGTTTCTATAATATAAAGCTTTCAAAATCATATCATATTACATGAGCCAACTTTAATGTTGCTCAATTTTGAAATGATTGATGATGATGATTTTTTTAAACCTACTTAGTTACAACAACTAGACCATTATAGTTACTTTTTAATGCCTTATACCTTACTTTGAGTCATTCACCATTTACATATCTTAAGTAACCAATGCCATTACCTCAAATTTGAAAATACCATAAAACCTACGATCTCTGGTCGTTCTTAGAGCATCGATTCACATATATACCGTTCAATATGTTTTCAATGTTAGTCTAGTCTTGGAAAGTTTTGAGATTGTTTTTATCGTGGAAAACTGAATAAAATGAAATAAAGAGGCCTCCTCATTCACTGTTTTTATCGTGGAAAACTGAAAATGAAATGAAGAGTTTATAACGCCTCTTCAATCACGTAGTCGTTAGAGAGTTGTGATTAGAGTGGTAGTGACTTCAACGTGGCAGAAAGCCAATCTAAAAATGCAATTCTCATACAGTGAAATCCCGTTTCAAAGCTCTTTTGAAACCACGGGAATATTTACCGTAGTCCGTAGCGTTGGAACATATTTCGGTAATTACTATTACACAAATTACATAAAATCAAGTACAAGATATAACCTTAGTCCTTCAACGTCAAAGATTATGAGTCTAACGGAAAAATTGCGGTAGCGGGTTTACCTACGAGTGGCCAATACCGAATAGTTCACTGTTTCGAATACATTTGAAGTTCAAAAAACGCTTATCTATAATATGCGGAAGAATTTGCATGCAATAAACAATGGAATAACTGGCTATATTACCAGGCATTTCATATTCACAGATTACTGCGATATATATTTTAGAAAAGTAACGCTTTTATTCTTTCACAAGTCGACGTAATCATGAGTTAGTTACGTTAACAGATTTAAATTAATATGGCAAGGCATTTGAAATAGTGGTATCGGTCATGGATTTGAATATTTGTCGCAACACAAAATCATCCTGGTAAAAAGTTCATACTTTCAAATACCAACCATTATTCAAATTATTTGCCAAAAAGCGGGATAAAGTATAAATTATTTTTCTGACTTGGGACAATTTTTCCAAGAGTCTGAAAATACGAATCAAAAATTAATTATATTCAGGCGCTTTACCACACATTTTAAGTCCGCAAATCGCCGTTATATTTTTGAGTATTAATACTTTTATTATTTTGTGAATACGAAAATACGAATAAAAAATTAATTATATTCGGGCACTTTACCACACATTTTAAGTCCGTGTAGTGTATTTTTGAGTAATATTATTTTGTGAATACGAATCAGAAATTAATTATATTCGGGCACCTTGCCACACATTTTAAGTCCACGAATTCCAGTAGATTTCAGAGTAATAATACTTTTATTATTCAGTAAATCTGAAAATAGGAATCAAAAATGAATAATATCGGGCAGTTCACTACACATTTTATGCTCACAAATTGTCGTCGCAACCATAAGTTACGTCAAACAAAACTAAATTAATAACGCATAATAATTTTATATGCTGGTATCGGTCATGGATATGAATAATTTGCACAACAGAAAATCATCCCAGTAAAAAGTCGAAACTTTCAAATATCATTATCAAAATTATTTGCCATAAAGCGGGAAAAAGTATTGATTATTTCCTCTAATAAATCGACTTGTTTTCCGACTTGCGACAATTTATTGGGTATCATAACAATTACGACATTGAATAATCTTCAATTTCTTGACGTAATGGAAATGAATGTGTAAAATCGTTTGAAGATTCCCGCAAAAACGAAAAACCGTGTTTACGATGAAAAGAGACTATATATTATTCGAAACTCAGCCGAAAATGTATTCGAATATTTGATTCGTTTTAGAAAACCCTGTCTACGAACCACAGTCTTCTTTTCTACAATACAACAATAATTTTCGACCCAATTCTTTAAAAAGGTTCGCCATTCCTGCTAGACTAACCCATCAAATTGCGTGTTCCCTGACTACTACATGAAACATTAGCGTTTTCTGACCATCAAATGTTTGAGATTGTTTTGTAAAGTTCCAAAACAATTAGGTTGAAAATTTTCAGTTGCAGATTAGTAGTAATTTGACTCCAGTGTAAATGTCGAATATTCAGGGAAGTATTTCACTGGCTTTATTTCGCTAAATGTCCGTACAATTATAGAGACCCTGCTCAGCGCAGAATGTTTTCAAAACATTTCGCCTATAAGTTTTTGAAAGTATAATTTCATTTGATTTCAATTGAAAATCTAGAAAGGCTTTTTGTATCTTATACTCACCAGAACAAATATTACAATCATTAGATATGAATATTGAACGTATTACTAGCTCAAAATTAATCCCTCATCAAACGCATTTGAACGCGAAATAACGGTGCACGAAACTACGCCCAGTTATAAGCACCATTAAATATTAAACAATGCGGATATATATAGCACCAAGGTCTAACCCCACCCTATTCCAAACAGCACGGAAAATTCGTCGCAAATGCGTCTTTTCTTGGAATTCAATTGCAACAGAGAACAAGACTTGCGTTACACGTAACACATTAATTTATAAGTTGCTCCTTCGCTATCCAGTAAGACATGGGTTGGATTCTGTACCAAGTAATGGTAATTATGTTCCTCAAGAAGTAAAGCATGCAAGAAGATTCCTAAAAAGTCAAACTAGTCTTCGACATTTTCTTTCTGAAAAACGATAAAATGGATGAATTTGGTGGTTTCCAACATTTTGTGTTGAAATCTTCTATTAGTTGGTTTTTGAACTGTTTATACCAAAATCCCTATGTTTAATTACCTTGCCTTTTGTAGATTCTTCGCCAGTGTTATACAAAAGTCGCATTTTCATTTTTACGCAGTTCAAATAGTTTGTCGCGTTTTCATGAATAATATTATACAAAAGTGAGTACTACTACAACGTATATTCCTATTCAAAGACTCTCCTCTAGATAGGAATTCACCCAATATCATAAAAATCATTTTATAGCATAATATATCGAACACATCTTTACATCAAAAGGTTATATTCAAATTATAAAACCAATTAACTTCGAAAGAAATTTTGAGAATTGAGCTTAACGAAACACGGAGAATGAACTCTTCATGCAGTGTGATCGTGAATTATGCCAAAAATATTTTAAAGCAAAACAGGATTCTTCTACATATATACTTGAGCAATTTAAAATATTTGTAATTGAAAAGAATTGTTTAATAACAGTATTTGGAATAGAAATATCGCAGGCTTCGGGGTGGCGTAAAAAATTGTAGGGACAATAATACCAGGGAAAAATTGAAATTTCCATGACGAAAGAGATAAAACATATGACCTCATAAATGATGGCACGATCCACAATGCTATGCCAGCCAATGCAGACCTCTTGAAATATGCGCAATAAGCTGGCGCACAACCTGAACTCAGGTTGTGTACCAGGTTGGGGTTCAGGTTGTGCGACATCTTGGTGCGCATACTTCAGGAGTACCCAAAACTTGATGAGAGAAACGTAATAATATATCAAACATTAAAAGATTGTATTAAAATTATTAATCAGAAAAATATAAAAAAAATGTTCAAGACTTGATGAGAAAAATGTAACAATATATAAAACATTAAAATTAATCATAAAATAAAGACACGATGTAAAATCGGACAATACCTTTTAAATGAATTTTAAAATGTGAAACACTGATCAGATTAGTTCCTTAAATTTGACAATGTTTGTTTCCAAATCTGACACGCATTTCGCCATCCTTAACATGACACCCGTCAACCCACTGCCCTATTTCGCCCTCCTTAATCTGACACGCATCGACCATATTTCATCATCTCTAACCTGACAGGAATCGACCCTATTTCGCCACCCCCAATTTGACACGCTTCGTCCGCATTTCGCCATCCCTAATCTGCCACGTTTCGACCGTATTTTGCCATCCCTAACCTGCCACGCTTCGACCGTATTTCGGCATCCCTAATCTGCCACCACGCTTCGACCGCATTTTGCCATCCCTAATCTGCCACGCTTCGACCGTATTTCGCCAACCCTAATCTGCCACCACGCTTCGACCGCATTTTGCCATCCCTAATCTGCCACCACGCTTCGACCGCATTTTGCCATCCCTAATCTGCCACGCTTCGACCGCATTTCGCCATCCCTAATCTGCCACGCTTCGACCGCATTTCGCCATCCCTAATCTGCCACGCTTCGACCCCATTTCGCCATCCCATTTTGACACTCATCGACTGTGTTTTCCCAGCCCGAATTTGACAGATACTAATCCATTTCATCAGCCCCAAATCTGAACACTTTGGCCATATTTCTTTGTAATTTTGAGGCAATTGTTCATTGTTATCTGTATACTAAACAGCGCATTATGACAGTCGATTTGGCAAAAACTGACAGCCATCGACCGCATTTTGCCATCCCTAATCTGCCACCACGCTTCGACCGCATTTTGCCATCCCTAATCTGCCACCATTCGACCGTATTTCGCCATCCCTAATTTGCCACGCTTCGACCGCATTTTGCCATCCCCAATTTGGCTTTTCGTCCCTATTTCGTCATCCCTAATCTGCCACCTTTCGACCGTATTTCGCCATCCCTATTTTGCCATCCCCAATATGACTTTTATGCTACCAACCCTCCTCAGAGCAACGACTAACAGGGCCATTATTTCAGCGATCCGACGGGGTTGATTACACATTAAATCAAGCGGTTGATTGTGCTCATGAGAGTTAACACTATCAACTGATCATACAATTTTTAAAATGTACGATCTATTTTATATAGCCTACGAAATGAGCTAGACTAGACTATACCGTCACGGTACAGGTACCTAGTCTATGCGTGATTGAAGTTCAACCGGCAGACCGGGCATAAGCAAAGGCGTCAGAATGCTATAAGTATTACCGGTATCTAACTGCATCACTGTCTGACTGTCCTAGATCTCAAGAGTTACCTGTTATGGTGCATAACTTATCGTACCGGTACCGTACTGCAGTTACGATACATTGACTATTTACAGATTTTATTTTGTACCGGTTGCATGTAGGATGTCTGGCTCTGGCTTTCCCTTCCTGCTGCCAGTACAACCGTCAGATTATACCGGGACATTCAGCGAATGCTGGAATGTGTGTTGCGCATCGGGGAAATCAAAATAAACTTATATAGGATAGGATTTACATATTTATCCCGGGGGAGAGGAAAGTCGATAAGACGGCTTATCCATATGGCGAACCACGGCCTCTCGTCCGGTTACCATTCTGCCATTCCAAGTCGGGTATGGGATTAGTTATATTGTTTGTTTTCGGAATCATGGACTTGGTGGTGGACTGGTGGAGGAAGCCGTAACCGACCAGCGGTTACGTGAACCACCCAACGGCGGCGAGGAGTCCAGCAATCCTCTCGCACATACCCATCCCTGCATGGGATTCGAACCTGCGAACCCACGCAGAGTAGTTAGAGGTGCGGTGGCGAGCGTCATCCTAACACTTAGCCCGTTGAGCCACACCGCCACGCATACTGTATATAACACAGTAATAGAAGTCTATTGATGGAAATATAGTTACTGGTACAGGCTAGTTACTTTCCATTACTGCAGTACTGGTACGGTATCCCATCTTTGGACTATTTAGTATAAGTATAAGTTTATTTTGACTCCATAATCAGCAATAGACGATAAAAAAATAGATAAAAACAAAAGTAAAAGTAACTGATTATAGAATCGGGAAAGCGAACAAAACCTAGAGTAAGGTTTGAAACGTACAGATTTTAGATGGAAAGGTATTGATAAAAGAAGTAGTACGTGTTCGCTCACCCACCCATTTTCATGATTTTGGTGCCGGTTTTTCAGTACCGTATTCAGATAGTATTGCAAATAAGTTAGGTCATTGGGTTGGGTTTGCTCACTTCATTCATTAGAATACTTGCGTAAATACCTACCTTGTCCGTTTAGGACAAAGCCCATCCCTTGCTATCGTAGTGTGGTTCAGTAAGTTTGTAGTCTATCATCTGTTTGGTTATGGCTTCCTCTACCCTGCCACCATCAAGTTCATGAACTGAAAGAAACATTCTAGTTAGGTATTCCTATACCTGATGATAATCGGACAAGAAGCTGTAGTTTTCAACATGATTAAGCAAATAGTTCGCTCTTCCCAAGGATAAATATGTTCTTAATATATACACCTATAACTGTCTTTGCTGTACATATACCCCTATAACTGTCTTTGCTGTACCAAAGATTTAATACAGTAATATGGAATCTTTTCTGTTTTCACAGGGGTAAGCCTATCTACCGTCACCTGTAAATTGATTCAATACGCTGCATATTAAAATTATGAGAGCTGTAAGTGGTTTGGTACCAACTAGATTCTTGGTTCTCATAGCACATCTGGTGATTGTCATATCAATATTCTGGTCAAGGGTGAGTATTTTTTCATATTTATATTGTATATAAAATACAATTGCTATTTTATGACAAACGTAGCAATTAAAGTGTATTTCAGAGCACCATGCACCAGAACTCTTAGCACAGTTTTTTGGGACCATCATATCTACATGTATAGCTATAAACACCAGAAATTACTACCGTAATTGTTGATTCAAATATTTCTTTTATCAGAAAACCTTAAATTGAATGTGTATTAGTTTTTTGACATATTTAATTAATAGTGCCTGTCTTTGGTTATATTCTGTTCTAGTTTTGAGTAAATCATGGAGTGTTTAATATTACTACAGGATCTGAATGTGAAAGCATGTCTTCCAATTAACTACACTGCTGCAGAATATTCATCCAGAGACACTGAACTTATTATTGGCCTTTCAATAACACTAGCATTCTTTTTGGTTGAATTTGGAGGGTTTATTGGTGGAGTTTCAATGTTCAGTCACACGCAGTCTCTATTTTGTATCCTTTTTAACAAATAGTTTATTTAATTCTATAAAAAAAGATTTTGAATTGCAATAAATGGAAATAGTGTTTAATTTATATCTTCAATGTAAGATTATTGGGGAATAAGACGATAACAAATTTTTTTATGAAGGCAGGTTGAACTCAAGTGGGATTCAGCAAAATTTGTATTTAGTAATTGAGATTTCACATTGTTTACCTCAACTTCCTTATACTGAACTATTCAGCTATTGCGGCTCATGCAGGGGCCAGTGTCACTCTCGCCTTTTTCGTTTTTGATTCTTGGAGCTGCTCTTTATATTGGTGGATTTTTGCATTCTGTAGGTTGGTAATTATCAACAAAACTTTTATTCTCATATACTTTTCATCAGACCAAGCCACAGAATATTTTAAAATAATGGTGCATCATATGACCAATATATTTTCCACTCTCGTATACTCCAAGGCCCTAAGTCATTTCACTGTCGATCTTCTTGTTTTTCTTGATTTTCGAGACTTCTTGATATGTGACTAATTCTAAGTTCTGTTGAATACAGTTTGTAAGTTTAAAAAGACCTGTTGGAGGTTTTGAATGTATATGAAATGTAAAAAATTCCAGTTATTATAAGTAGCATCATTGTAACAAAATGCCCAACAACATTGTTGTGAGAGAATCTCTACGTTTAAGTCTCTTATAACAATATTTGTTTGAAAATATGGTATGGTAGCCACTGAGTTTTATTACAATTTTATTCAGTGACAAAATCCATTTTCATTGCTCTGTCAAATTTTTTTTTCACAGTGCCCTTCCAGCAATTACTGAGACTATTGTTATCATCGGTGTTTTAGCATTGAAGAAAAACTTATAGTCAATGGCAAAGTTTTTTTTCAGCGTCTGATCAAATGCTTCCACTCCATGCTGGTCACAAAGAATCTGTTGAATTGAAAGTCCTAAATCATGATCAAATAGTGATCCAGGGCTCAGTCACATATCACAGTTTTGCCTTAAAACTTTTTTAAAATTGTGAATTTCATTCTTCGGCATTAGTTTTGTAAATATTAAATGTTAGCACGTTTTCAACAAACTTTCTATTTTAACTGCTTCATATATGAATCAAAAAGTTTGAAATTATTTTTACTTGGTGTTTCGCTAAAGGACCCTATTTTTATATAAATATATTTTATTACTGCTGAGTTCTGAAAATTCCTCCACATTGTCTATCTATCGTGGTCGCGTTTTGTATAAGAGTATTTACGTATAACGTAAATAAACGTTCGTAATTGCTTTTGTGCGTGACTGGGGAACCGATCGGTGACGCGAACACAGCCTTGTGGCACGCAACGGGCGTATTCAAACCTGAGGTGATATGAGATGAAATATTTTATACACAATATTCGTAAGCACAGGCCTCATTTTGTAAAAGAAAGCAGTTACTCGTCTTAAGACATTTTACTATAGGTTTATTTATTTTCAGTTTATTCTTACTTCGAGAGTGTATTCGTAATTTGGCGCTTTCAGGCTTGTTTACCGGTTCATAACTTTCAATTCAAAATGTTTAACCACCCGTTGTTTATAAGTACTGATATCTAGTTTATCTCTGGTATGTCACTGCATTTTCGGGTCTAAACTAAAGCTTCTGCAGACAAAGTTATCTTTGGGTTATTTTCATTCACTCCCAAATTTCGAAAGAAAAAAGACTAATTGCTAGAAAACGAAAGCGAGTCAAATGGTGTTTCACCGTTGACATTAGTTCTAATTTCGAGCGTTTCCCAAACCTTTTTTGGTCGCGGACTATTTTTTCACCGGCGAAAACCTTTGCGGACCCAACGTGCGTTTATTGCAACCGTACTCTGTATGAAGAAATATTAAAACCAAACACAACATAATTTTAAAATCGGAAATTCGCCGCAATTACGCGATTGTTAAAAGAGCTGACTTTTATAGTGTATAAATGGCCTTTTCTGCCAAATATAATTTGGCAGATAAACTAATTATAGAGTTGTTATACATGAGAATGAAGGCCAAGTAAAAGTGAAATGTTTGTATTATTATTATTCAATTAATTAAGTCACCTAAGCAACGAAACTATAACTTGCAACACATGTGAAAGTTAGACACGTTCATACACCATGGGTCTTGAAACTCCAGTTCCAAACTCCAAGAATGAAATCCCGATAATAAATATTTGCTGAATATTCTCAAATAAAACGTTAAATGCTGTTGTTGTCATAAACTTGTTCTATTTTAATTTAATTGTGTTCGTGGTCACTCGCGGTTGCGTCGACTTGTAACAAGATGAAAGCATTACTTCTTTAAAATTCCACGGCCATCCGCGAACATAATAATGTGAGAATATATTGCCCAATTATATTTAGTTTTGATATATATATACATATTTTTTGCGATCTTGCGAATTTGTTATCGCCGTTAGAAAAATCCTACTATCTGTTATAAATTTCCAGGAGGTACAGCTTGATTCAGTACTTATTAAAAATAGAATTCAAGTATATTAGTGAATAAAACAAAAATATCATCGCCTTGCTTTAATATTAATTTAATTGTGATCATTTCAATCTGCGGCTGTGTTGACGAAATAAAAGCAATACTACTTAAAAAATATCATGACAATCAGTGGACACAAAAATGCGTGGTGCCCGATTATATTTTGTTTTAATTCGTATTTTTGTGAATTCGACAAATCTCAGCTGTCCGTAAAACATTCACGGCGCTCCAGTACTGTACCTACCAGTGTGGAGGCAGTAAAGCAAAGAATCCTAAGGGAAAATGCCTTGATACACGTATACTACAGTAACACCCGAAATTTTGCGATTTGCAATGTATAAAAGAGCGTTTTTATTTTGAAACAAAACCACCATTGACACCCACCAGAAAAAATTATTCCCCGTTGTTCGAGCTCGCGAGAAACACCACTTAGGTATCTATCTATCCACGCGCGTGCCGACTCGTGTTTTTGTCGGAAATCCGCAAGTGAGTTGTGAAATCCAATCTTTTGATAAAGCGACGCGCGAGTGACCTGTCGCGTCACCTGTTACCAAATTTTGGAATTGAATATTCGAATATATGCTCAGCCTTACTCAGTATCCATTAATTTTTGACTCGATTAATGTTATGTGAATAATCTTGCTTTTAAACTTGTTCTATGTAAATTCTAACGTAAATCGTAACGCAGCTGATGATTAAGTTTCGCTAAAACGTTTGCGGCCCGCAGTGAATTTCTGGCTCGTTGCGGACTCATTCAAACGCTCCGCGGACCCTTGAAACACTGGTCTAATTAGTCAATACAACGAAAGTGAAGAAGCAAGTTGAGAATGCTCGAAGGAAGCATTCATCTCTTGTGGTAGAAACTTGTTGAGAAATTATAATTGACGAAAACATGTCGGGTGTTCACTAACACAAAGCTATACAATTACTATCGAACAGCACCTCAATACCAAATATTTTGAGGCGATCCTGTTTAGGGTCACGACCCATAGGTCGGGGAAACATTGGTTTAGGAGACCCAATTTAAAATCAAGTCCGATCGCGTTTTTACCAATCGAGTCCATTTGTGACCTTCAATCGTTATTCAGCGAATATTCGTGGTTCTACACACACTGTTGGGAGCTGACTGAGGCCTCATACTAACGCCACAATGGCATTCGTGACCAACAGTCTGTAAAGATCGGGTTGATATGTCTGCCTGATATGTCAGCATTTAGGCCTGCAAATTACGTCATTCAGAGAGCTACCTCCAGGGATTTTTTCGTGCGGCCGTAAATGCTGCAACATTTGTTCTTTCCTATTGTCCGGTACGTCAATTTCAGTACCTGAACTTTTATTTTATTTGTAGTTTCATATATTACTATGGGCCGTTGGCCCGGTAACCAAGTCTATTATCTGTAACCGGCCCACACATGAAAGTAATTGCCCACCCCTGCTATAGTTCATCAAAATGCCGCGTGTGTGCTGCATTAATGAGAATTGTTCAAGCATGGGAAAATTTCTACCGACTCATATCATAGCGTAAATTTTCAAATATATATTACAAGAAATATGCTCAGGCAATGTAGCTATATTTGGTCACTGCAGCTTTTTTTCTTTAAGCACCCTTCGCCTGATTGCGGTATTTGCAAGATAGATCTATCATCTTTACACGCACGCACATTTGCCCCCGCAAACTGCACCCAGGGCATTTGAACCTATATTTTTTTACACCCACGCATATTTCACCCGTAGACAATTGCACACACAGATTTTAGCACCTACATGCATATTGCACCCATGGAAATTCGCACCCACGGACGTTTGCACCTGCGTACAATTGAACCCACGTACATTTGCAACCTTGAACTTCTGCATCAACGGACGGACATTCGCACCCACAGATATTTGCACCAGCTTACATTTGCACTCATGCACATTTGTAATCTACGGTGTGAGATGGAGTCTATTACTGACATTTGAAACAATATTTACCCAGACAATCACGCCGTTGTACGTGTTTAAAATCTTTCATCCATCCATGTTATTGGAACATAGTGAACTCCTACATCAGCAATGTCTGGGCAAATATATTAGCATTCTACTTATATTTAACAAATAGTATTATCACCGTTGCGCGATGAAAATGTTCAAAATAGACATAAAATAGATGACTCATTTTAAATGGCTGCAACATTTCCCTAATGACACTTAAACAGGCAAATATTGGATAATTTGAGTAAATATTTCTCTGATGACTAATTAATCACTTAAATTGTGGATAATTATTCTTATTACTTTTGATGGTTCCACTATATCCATAACCGCCTATTTTAATTACGCCTTTATATAATATTGGACATAATTTCTTCACTCATGAGTCATGGAGTACCAAAGACTCTTTTCCGTTTACCATACTATTTGGAGTTTGAAAATAACTAAAAAGTTAGTCGCTAAAAATGAAATCATGTAAATGTGAATACCATCTTTTGCATTTCACAACAAAACTGGATATTTCTCTCCTTCGAGGCGAATGTAAAACTCTAATGAATTTTGGCAAACGTGGAATGCGAAAAACGTCATGCAAAACTTCAATTCCAGACGTTTCAGTTGAGTGTCAACTTTGGTTTCGAAAAAGTTTTTCACGAAGTTTGGCACACATTTATGTGAATGAACATGCTGATTTAGTTCATTTCGATATAAACGTGAGTTATTAGGAATTAGGATTCATTATAAGTACATTCTTACCAAACTGCGTACCACGTTCTGGCTTATGGCATCGAGCCTTAAACTTTATCACAACATACACTGAAATGCAAGTGAATGAACGTTCTTTCTGATCAACGTGGACGTGAGTTGTCAATTCGTCAGCTCTGTCTACAAACATTTTGCCTGTCATTAAATTCAACCTTTATCGGACAAATACTTTTATCATCGATATCAGGCGATAAGGATGTTTATTACTGGGAATAGAGAACTTGAGTGTTTTTTTTTAAATAAACGTGGCACTTGAAATTTTTAAAATGAAATTATCCACTTCATTTACCAAATAAACTATTTTGATCAATGAAGTGGGGTTAACACGAGCTGTTTGAAAGTTTGATAAAAATGCATTATCATTATCACCAATATTATTAATTTTAGATTATTGTATTTTTTACGGAGATCCCATTAACTCGCTTGATTGCGGAAATGATAAAATCTAAACCCCTATATATATATACATTTTTAGATTTCATGGAAAATACCAATAATCAACACTCATCTCATATCCTTTTTCATATATATATATATATATGAGAATAAGAATGGGTCGCATAAAGCTTGGAAATTCCTAACGGATGTCGTTTAAGGAACTCTGGTATAGACAGCCTAAAACCTGTAACATATACATTTTCATTTTTGACTAACCATGATAAGATAGAATTTTTCTATTTATCCCGAGGGAGTGGAAAGCCGATAATACCGCTTATTCATATGGCAAACCACGGCCAGTCCATGTCGGGTATGGGATTAGTTAGCCAGTTTTCAGATGCATGAACTTGATGGTGGAGAAAGCTGTAATCGACCAGCGGTTACGTAAACCACTTCGAACCATTCGAACATGCGAACCCACGCAGGGTTATCAGAGGTGTGGTGGCGAGCGTACCCTAACGTTTAGCACGATGCGCCACACCGCCGAATCATAAAACAACATAAAATCAAATAAACAGCATTTTTGGTATGTAGAGTATGGACCATTAGTTTTCAAGCAATGGTCCATTGCCCTGAAGTAGGCCATGTAGTCTTTCTAATGGATCACAGAGCTTGTCTTGGTCAGAAAAAATCGATAATGATCAAATGAAAAAGACAATAACCAGAAAAATCCAGACCTGAATGTTGCGTTTCAACCCAATTTCAGCTTAACAATGCTACCTGAAGTTGTTTTCAAGATATTGCTTAATTTCCAGTTACCGTTGATAACTGAAGAGGGTGATCTTCACTGTTGTTTCCGCCGGGGAAAATGTGGAATGTGAACCTCTCACCAGCGGTTGGGATATTTTGTGTATGTTAATTTGTGTGAAAAATTATCAAAAAAGGTTACATAAATATTATCCAAATTTTTTGTGTTCATCATCGAATAAATTAGTAGGCCAACACCCAAATATAATGGAACATGAATAGAAGATGGTAGAGACAAACGCGATTAAAATTAAATGTAAACTTGGAGCTATTGACCTTTTCTGATCAAATCTATATTATGAGAATTCCCTTTGATTCATGTTAGATAAGAGCAATGCAATATCTATCAAAGAATTAAGGATTTGGACCATGTTCAAAATATGGTTACTGGTGAATTCATTCCACGCGGGTGCGGCTGAAACACAAAACATTCTACAAAATATTCCCCTGTGTTACAACTCCACTATTAATATACAGTATATATATGTTGTTTCCATTATCATATTATATATTCTCAAAACTTAAACTGCATAAGTGAATGCGCATTGCGACGCACTACTATGGATAAATAATATGAAGGAAATTTAGATTGGCCATTCATGATTCAGTTACAATCGATTGCACGATTTTTATCATCGCCAACCTCCGGTTCCAAATTGATTCTCATTTGAATATTGCAAAATATAAGTAGTATCGCGTGATGAAGATGTTGTAAAAGACAAAAATTCTATCTTATCAATATCAGAAAAGAAGGATGTAAACAGTACCAGACAGCTTTTGGCGCCAAATGTTTACTTTACATAGATTATGGAGAATATAGATGTTATTAATCATATGTGTGATTTTATTTCTCTAGTATGCGAGAGTGATAATAAAATAAACATGGCATTGAAGCGACAACTTTTCGAACCTATCTTTGTTGGTATTTCTATAATGACAGTTCGGAAAAAAGGCGAAAATTCACTGCTTAGTTGCATTTCGATTATTGTAAAGACAAGAGAGCAATGCTCAACTTCATGGGCTCAAAAGTCGAATAACTAATAGGCAGTGCATCAGTAGCTTATGCAACAAACAAGTAAACCTGGTATTTTACCATTCAAACAAAACTTACAAATCAACTCCACATCGTAGCAATTTATGTTGTTGAGTCTGCAGCTGAGCACCGGATTTGTCGAAAAATGACTTAGCCTACTAATATTCGGGAATACCAAAGTCAAATGTCAAAAAAAGAATACCAACAATTCAGTAAAATGATTCATTCACGTCCAATAACGTCCACGTTGCAGTGACATGAAAAATATTTCATCATTTGAAAAAGCTTGAAAACAATTGCCCGCTATTCCTATATTTTCATTTAATTTTTTGTTTCAAAATTTAAAATTGTAAATATTTGCCATGTGTTTCCTTCGCATAAAAAATTTCAAAAAGTTGTTTTGGTATAAAACAAAAGAACGTAAAATTATTTGTAAACTGAGCATGACTGCGAGATGGGCCCAAACATCTTGAATGAATTTCAAAAGTTAATGATTACACAGGAGCTGCGCAAGTTTTCGAAATAAAACGAGAACAGAATAAGAAAAGGGGCAAGTACTTTTTCTTTTTACAGTTGGATTACGTATAGTTGATACCTCAATGGCAATATTAATCCGGAACACAAATTTATTCTAGTTCACTTTGAGTTGTTTTTGAGACAGAGTCTCAACTCTTTAGCAATCTAAAATGCGCAACTTTGAAAACATAGGAATTATATATAAATTTAAAAAGTGATTTAGCATAATTTTAAAATGAAGATGTGTCCATAAAATACATCCAACTTTTCTTTCATCAACTGCCATCAACTGAATGGAACAATGAGGGATTTGATCTTTGGTTTATATCAAAATGTAGCTGTATATTTCTGATCTAATTTTATGCAACTCCCAGTCTTTTTGTGTCATCTTGGAGGCAACACTTGAAAATAGGGCAGAGATACGAATCTTAAAACCTCGATAATAACAATCCTGCTCTACAAACTGTGCCATCGGACGGGTCAGATCAATACCATCTCTTCAACCATATTCAAGATAAATGAGATAGAAAATTCTGAAACGGAATTCATGCGATATTTGATTGATAAGAAAGAGCCTTATTTCACGCCTAATATCGAGCATTTTTATTTTGCAGAATACATATTATTTTAAATTGTTTATGTTAGAAGAAGAATATACAATGCTTTCTGGTATTTTGTGCGCCATTCTTTGCACAACGCTCCCGGTCGTTGGAGGTTCACATTTTCGCGGAGGTACAGCATCGTGGAAGCTCATAAGCTCAAATGGAAATGATCATGAGGTCAGAATTATTTTTCATAGATTTTGCTCTATTTTCGGGAAACCATGATTGGAGGTAGACGTATAGATCGCAACCAAAATTGCGGAGACAGAATATTGTATACGGGAAGGAAGTACGGGAACCCATGACTCTTTTTGTCACGGCATATGGCTCCCAGTAAAATCTAATATTTTAAGACTGAGCTTACTATTGTTACCAGATTTCAAACACTTTTATAGCCAAATTTGGTAGAAAATTTGCCAATACGTTTGAGAACTCACGCTCTGGGCATGTCTAATCAGTGGTTCCCAACCTTTCTACCCTGGCGGACCGGTAAAATTAAATTAAATGTACTCGGGGACCGGCAAAAAATTGAAATGACCGGAACATAAAAGAATAAAAGGTACACTCAAAAACAGCTCACACGAAGAAAAACTATCAAATAATGTGCCGACTAAAAATATTTGCGTAATGAAATGCAGTGCTGGGTACCCATTATGCGTAAGAAAGGCTCACATAAAACATCTCACATAAAAAAACATGTACATGCCAAATCATGAACAAACGCAATTAACTCTAGTAAAAATTTTGCTGCTGTTTAGTTTCCAATATAGGATTGCAAACGATGCCTCAAAGAAGTTTCTGCAACACGTAGCCCTGCAGCGCGTGCAGCCAATTTCCTTGCTTCGCTCTAATTAAAGCTAGTGATGATAATATTTTGATATATAAGTAATAAAAATATAAGTAACTCGTTGAAAATACGGACAGCAGTTTGATTGCTTGATTATTAGCGATGGGTATTCGTTATCAAGAGATATCCATAATTGTGACAGTGATTCCTTTTTAAATCTGGACTGTAAATTAGAATCAAAATTTGAATCAAGCTTTTTCTTTGGGTTTATCATTTTAAACCCCTTTGCAGTTGATCGATGTTCCAAACAGGATGAATTTACATTACAATGACAAAGTCGTCGGTAATTTGGCACCAGGCTCAAAATCCTATTTTGTCTGCTCAAGATACTGGAAAAGATCTCAGCGGCCAATGCTTATTTGCGCTCCTCGTGACCACCTGCCATATTTTACTGGAGTAATATACTTTTCTTGACTGTTTTTTGGTTTGAACAAAGAAATATGCATAACGTTTTATTTGGATGGTCATATTAATCAGGAAAAGCATGCGGTACAGAAAAAGCAGGCGTGCCAATTGTTAGGTTACTGAATCTTGCGAGATTTTATGGAGCGCATTCACGATGAATCGTAGCCGAAAAAGCAAAAAGTGTGATTCCTTGGCGCCAAGATTCGCGAAAGACGTCGCAATATGACTGCGGAAGAGAAATTGCGTAATAAATCAACCTCGTCTTCAGTAAAGAGATCGGAGCGCATTCAAGATGAATCGGAGCCGAAAAAGCGAAAAGTATGATTACTCGGCGCCAAGATGTCGCAATATGACAGCGGAAGAAAAATGGCGTAATAAACCAACGCAACCTCGTCCTCGGTAAAGCGATTTAGACGGCATAAAAACAACAAAACACCGAAATTTTCCCGCGGACCGGCAAAAAAGCTTCGCGGACCGGCGGTTGGGAACCAATGGATTATGCGAGAGAATACCAGACAGACATTGTGACAAACTAGGGGATTCTGGAACATATTACGAAGCGATATAGTCGCGGGGCAATAAAGGAAAGTATTCCGTCAGTTTGTAGGCCTACTGTTTATTTGTAATATTCAGGTTGGACCAGTGAATCTAATTTTTCAAGCACGGAGATGCTCAAAAGAAAAAGTGACGAGTATCGTTGATTTCAACTTGTGCTGCATGTGAGAAGTCGTTTGAGGCCCTGAGCGACAACACGCAGCATAAAAAGTCGCATTAAATATATTGACATTATATGTGTTGACTTTTGAGTAAAAAGTCAAGACATTATTAGGTAATGAAAATTGTTGTATGGCTCGCGCGGAAATGCAATTGAAAACATGTACCTTTCATGGCTCTCTTGACCAAAAAGGTTCCAGACCCCTGCCTTTATATAATATATCTTTAACTAAATAAATTAAGTCCTAATTCTCCAACCTCCTTATTTTCATAGATTGAAATGAATTATCGTCTTGGTTGGAGAAGAGACTCCAATAATCCAGGGTGCGACGACGATATGATTTTGAGTCAAGTCGAAGCATATGATGAAGGAAGTTGGTCGCTTTATGGAGCATCTAGTTACGATTTCCCCCATTCTACTGCAATCAAATGCACTGTTTATGAGCCTGACGAAAATTGGGCGTATGGTTATAATAGCTTTCGCGCTAATATCACATCGTCATCGAACTTTGACATCATGTAAGTTACAATGCAGTTTTCATATCTCTGATTATGGTTAAGTCTAGATTTTTTGTCACATTCCCTACATCAAAACTGATTCAATTTCAACATATGATTTTTGAAGACGTCTTCCTTGCTGTCAAAGCAAATTTGGCAAAAAATACAATTGTTATGCAGATGTCAGTAACTTAAGACAAGCAGTTTCTAAGTTTATAAATTATTATGAGTGCTATGGATGATATCGGATGTTTAAGAAAACCGCGTTGAATTATTTTCTAAACATTGTGCTCTTCTATAGTATTAGCCTCTATTTTTGTACCATTTACAGCTTTGCTAGCGGTGATTGGATTGGTGGTTTATATCGTGGAAGTAACGGTCACTGGTCTGTTGGTCTGCTAGGAATAGACCTCGGAATTAGAAGCGATACTGGGAATGTTAACAACCCACCAAGAACTCTCAATGCACCAATAGTAAGGTAATAAATGTTTCTGCTTGAGTTACATCAACTAATTGTTCAATGTCTACTCATTGAGATTTGAATTCTTCTCCCTCAAGGTTACAGCTGGGATGCCCCAGTACTATAATAATCCAAGCTCTTGACGATGACAATGATGATGTGACGTGCAGGTATGCCACTGGTAGTGACGAATGCGGAGATGTATGTGGAGGTTTTCCTTATATTACTTTAGTAGAGGTATGTACTTTGCTCTGTGTTTACATTTTCCTTGTAACAACACAACAGCTGTCCCCAGCTCAAATATGCAACTAACAAACATTATTCTGTAATTTTGTACTATTTCGCCTGAATATGACGTTGCTAGTTTGAGATTTTGGACTTCCACGTGTACATTGTATAAAGCAGGCAGATCACCTACCCCATCATAGGGAGTGTCCTAAATTTGTCGAGTTGCATATAGTTCTCCGATCAACGATATTGATATAAAAAAATAAAAAAAATATTAGAATAATAGAGATGAATTGTCATTAAAACCTACTTAGTCTTCTACTATGCTTTTGCGCTAGTGAACCAGTATGTGTATAATAAATACAAGGATACCGTAGCAAGAGAGGAGGCAAATATTCTACGTGATTCAAAAGCGGCGCACCCTTAGTGAACCGCTGTTAATTAACGGGTTACAAATGTGGATAAAAAGATTGTGGGCCATATATATTTAGTCAGTTTACTTCACTGCGAAACTTGCTGTTGCATTTTTTCTGCGAGTCATATCCTTGGTAGGTATTTTGTAGTTTTGAGCATACACGTACAGCATTTATGTCAAAACTCGTATTTGACTTTATGAAACTCACGTGCCAAAACACAGGTTTGCATACAAATGCATACAAATCAACAAAAAACACTTATAATGATACGACAAATCTTTCATTGTTTCAAAATACTTCTACTCTGAGAGAATTATATTATTCGATAGGTTTTGTTATTTTAGATATCCGCGGTCGTCAATTGAAGTCAATTTTGTTGTTTGACGACATTGAACGCTGTGAAAAACGAACTGCAAAGTAGTATCTAATTCATGTATACCTCCAAAACATTCTGCGGACCCCTCTGGTTCATCTAACTCCGTAAGGGAACTTTGCAAGGAATGAATAGATCAATTGTTTTGTTATGTCCTAAACGTTGTAACAGTATTGTTGCCAGTAGCAGCACACTGAAATACTATAGTACATTGATTTTTAAACGAAGGGGCGGGCCCCACAAGGGGGCGTAGACAATTTTTTGACGGGGCGTGAAGCTAAATAAAAATATTTGTCAGATTTGATCTTGCCCGTCTACTTTTGGATATTTACATTTTTTTATTGTTAAGAGATTGTAGAGAGCTATTGTGCTTTACATTCCATCCACGTATTTCCAACGTGTTTGTTGATTAAAACATACCTTCGCCTTATTATCTGTTATTTGTTGCTTATTGTTAGCTGGTTGTTTTTGAGGTGAGGCGCCAGACTTGACGAACTCTAAAAAAAGGGCGCAGCTTGAAAAGTTTGAGAACCACTGCTATGGTATGTTGTTGGTTCGAATTAAAGCCGAGTTTGTCATCAATTTTATCACTGAATTTGAGTATGTTTTTGGGGTTAATTCGTGACTTGGCAGATCACACAGTGGGTTATTTTCGTGACCCGTGGACCAGTGATTTGCCACTCCTGTGCCTGGTTAACAAATTATAAACGCTTTCCAATGCCATGTAATAAAAAAAAAACGGTCATCAATGAAGCGGCAATTACTGTGGTTTGATATTACTTTTTTCAATGGTTCTAGGTTATGCCCATGTTGGCTTACTCTTCCATTACTCTTCCTTCAGTTTGAAGACAATGTTTCTCGTCAAATATAAAGTTGTTGTTTATAAGAAATAATTGGCTGATTGTACTACAGTGCACAATGTGTTTCTCGTCTGTCCTTTTTTGCAATTCTAAAGATAGTGTCGCACGTCTGATATTTATATCGTCGTTGTGGAGACGATTTATCGTCCAAAGGAGAAGCCACGTCCATGCTAACTACCGGTAGTATTGATTCGGGCTGAACTGAATTTTTGCAGTTAATTTAAAAAACTCATACTGTGTTTCACATACGGATGTAGTATTACTTTGTTGTGCCAGTCGTTCATAAGATTGCACCATTCGGTTGATTTTTGTTGTAACCTTTAAGTCGCAGACTTAAGCGGCATTGTTTCGATATTTTCGGAAAGATTGCTTCAATTTATCATTCAAAAAACCAGCATCTTTCCTTCTTGAGCATTGCTCTGAGATATATTTTTTGAGATGCTGTATTCCTTTCCGATTTCCTTCATGAAGGAATAAATCCATTCTTTTTTTTAGCTAGAACAAGCATGCATTTTTGAAATTTTCCATCATTTATCGTTTTAAGTACATCTGCAAAATGGTCAAGTTTGAGTTACGACCAGGCGAGCTATATGCGACATTATTGGTAACTTGTGGTATTGCTTCTTATTTCAGCCTAATTTTCCATACATTGAAGTAATCCAATTTGGCCGAAGTAAATTTAGACCATTTGTTTTGTTTTTGAGAAAACATGTACACTTGAGTATAATGGAGGTGGAAGATACTACTTGGTCGCAATTGCTTTGATGTTAGAGGATCATCCAAAACAAACAATAACTGTTGATGGAAGCACCATCACAACGTCAAATGTGCTCAGTAAAATTCCTCTACAATTTATCATTGATAGTAAGATTTATTTTTTTAATATTATCAACCTTGATCATGATAATATTAGAACTGATATACAATTTGATTTTCAGTATCATCGGCGTCGTCTTGCAACATAAACCCAACGTATCCACCATATTCCATTCAAGACGGAGAAACTTTCGTAATATCTGATACCGAAACGTTCAACGAGACCCTCTATGCGTACCCAAGCGTTTCTGGAGGAAGGTAATGTTTTCGATTCGAACAAAATAATTCTAAAGTTTGGTATATGGGTTGGTTAAAAATGTAACTACTTTTATATATTCTGACTAATTCATTAGCCTGACAAAAAGCTTGATGATATTGTTCTTCAGAAATAAATAAAACAATGTAATAATGTTCCAATAGGGCATAGCTAATACGACATAATTTAATAGCAAACACGAGTAATATGACCGTTTACACAATGCTTGAAATGAAATAGACTACTTTCGATGTCCAATATTTTAATGAAATCATTAGAATCGTCTCTTTATAATCTTCAAAAATCTCTATTCAGCATAACACAGTTTGTTGTCATTGGGCCTCTGGGGTTGCACCAGTCCGAGATAACTGATAATGGAAACGATCTTTTTTCGTCGAACATGATTTGGGATGCAACATCCGATCAATCAGGCGATCACACAGTTTGCTACTACGCAGTGGATTCTAAAGGGTAAAATAGATCCTTTTGATATAACGCCAAAATACATATTTGATTCTAACGAGTTTTCTATTTACACTCTTTCAGGCTACATTCTGAACAAAGATGTTTCACTATAACTGTAACTGGTGAGTGTTTTTGGTAAAAATATATTTCCAGTAACAGTAGGTGAACAAAATTTTAGTATTGTACTCTTTTGATATTTCATTACTCTTTTTAATTCAGTAAATATTGATCCATGCGATGTCGACAACGGTGGGTGCAGTGACACTTGCATAACTGATACCAACTCGCACAGCTGCTTATGCGATTTAAATTGTTGGTCAATACACGACAATGACAGAACTTGTCTTCGTAAGTGATTTTATAATATCTTCGAATAATCTATAGGCTGTATAATGTAACCACATCCTACTTATATTAGTTTTGTTCACTCACACATCGTTTGCGTTATTGTAAACTAATGTGAGAAAGCAAATGGCAGAATAGCGTTCTCTTGCTACTCTATCTCTGGTGTGTGATATTTAAAGCGATCTAATATACCTGAAGATTTGCCCCATATGTAACGGTCTCCTAGTTTAAACCAATTTGTTCAAGCATGCGAAAACAAAATTCAAGTACAGCGGTAGGTTTGCTGTTTAGATCTTCCTCCCAACCAAAATTTTCGCCTATCGGCAATAAGTCACATGCTACAAGTGTTCGGGAATATGTGGTAACGAGTGCGTGGCGTCAAATCGTATTGGACATTTTGTCGTTTTTACAGCCTTCTCGACGGTTGAATGTGACGGTCTTACAACGAACATCAGTATTGCAAACTGTGCATCAGAAGAAGTTATATTTGCTGGAGAACACAATAATCTAAATTCAGAATGTCAGTCAACCAGAGGAACTTCCCAACAGCATCTTTCATTGACCAGTGGGCAATGCGGAATGACAACTGAGGTAAAACTGATGTGACGTCTATATATATGTTCTTTATGCTTTATGTTTGAATATACGCAAATTCAAGAGAAGTTTTTGACAATAAACATGGAGTTTTCATATATTGCAAGCCTGAGTATTTCCTTCGTGAAAGCGTACTGGGAAAGAAACTTCAAAAATAAAAATTATTATTAGAGGCTGTACATACCGAAAAAGTATACTGCATTATACATATATAGATGAAGCATTTCCCATTTAGACACTAAGAGTTATATCTTTGTTTTAGTCTATCTATATTTTATATCAATTGGTTGTTGTAAAAAATCAATCAAAAAATATACAAATTTTTAATTAATGCTGAAGCCGTGCAATTATTTTTAATGTGGCTTCAAAACATTTCTTCGAAGTATAAAAGTCTATTTGCATTGGCAGTCCAGTGCCGCTGGCATCCAATATGCAACCGTCATTTATGTCTACAAAGAAGATACTGCTGGATCCAGCTCTGTCATAACGAGAGGTGAATGGGTACAGATATCAGTTGTTTGTACTTTACCAGCATCATCAAATTTAACCGGATCTTTTGTACCTGAAGTTCCGATTACTGGTGATAATGTACAAAATGAGGTTTCTATTGAAGGAATGGGAACATTTGTGTTTTCGTTTGATATTTACCGTACAGAAAGTTTCACGGTAAGTTTTGTAAAAATATGTTAAAAAAATTCATATCAGTTATTCTGAGAGTCAGAGGAACCCACGGACTGGACGGACAACGTTTTAGTCGCGAATGACAAGAGACACCCGAACACACGAGTGCGACGCTGATACCTGATTATGGTGTAGCGTAGATTGAGTCCCGTTCTCAAGATTAATATACAAACGCCATTTTTTAGCTTGCAAATTCTACACGAAGACATAGCAAACGTTTTTTTTTCATATTTCTCAGACAGCTTATAGTCCAGCCGAATACCCAGTAGAAGTTTCTATCGATGATGACATATACTTTGCACTTCAAGCGGTTGGGCGGGGCGATTTGACTTTGTTCACAGAAGAATGCGTAGCGTTGTCAACCGAGACGATAACTCCAACAACTTTAGAATATCCCTTTATATCAGCTGGGTAATTTGTTTATATATTTCGTGAATGTTCATTTAGTGCACATATCTGAACAATGTTTATATTATGTCATGCAAAGATCATATCATTTGAAGGTTGAGGCGGTTCATCATTAAAGTAGTATTGGAAGAAGTTTTTATTTCATCACCAGTCAATAATTATTGTGCAAATATTGTAAATTCAGTCGTTTGGTTGAAATTTATTATATTGAATGAAACTTATAACACAGGCACTAAGCTGTTTCCGTCATACATAGTGGGTTATTATTTTTTCAGATGTCTCGAGGATCCTACGATGGAAAAATATTTATCAGATAATCCTCTTGAAAACAGATTCAGCATACAAGCGTTTCAATTTGCAGACAAACTACTTGCTTCGAAGGAAGATGCAGCAGTTTATATACAGGTTTGTGAAATTTAAAAAAGGAACTGTGCTTGTACCTTTTTTGTTCCCTAGATTAAACACAGTCATTTTTTTTTCAGTGTTCTGTACTTCTGTGTGATTTATCAAATACTACGAGATGTTATCAAGGATGCGTATCTTCAACATTCAGAGACAAAAGGTATGTCACTAGTTTTCACGTTTCAATAAATGCATTGTTGTTCCTGTTGTTCGTCAGGCGATGTCATTTTTATTTAACGAATGTTGCGCTCCATTCTGTTAGGCCAGTAATATTCTATCAGCTGTCTTCAACAGGTAAATGTTTTATTTTGTGAACGGCTTTGCTACTGGGTACGCCATTTCAGTACTTGCAATGTTCTTCGTCATATAATACATCAACAATGCGTTGTTGTGTATGTTTTCGTTCTGACATGCTCTCGTCATGAGACATCGCTAATAAGTCATTTAATATTTCATAATTTATTGTTGCCTTCATTTGATCTATTTGAATCTATTCCTAATATTTCAATAATTATTATATACATGAAAAATATGTGGAACTTAAAGTTACAAAACAAATTACTGTATTACATAATATATAACTTATATACCCATTATAATATTGACAGATCAATTCTACAGCACGATTCTATTGTTAGAGCTAACTTAGCAAAGAATGATAGTGATAACCAAGATGTCGAGGATGACGACGACGATGAGATTCCTCTCACCACCAAAGAATCTTCTCCGCAAACCATTTCAAACGCGCTGGTTTTGATATTTGATGATGATGGTGGTAATGATAACGACGGCGGAAACGGTGAGAAACCTGTTTTGCATTTGGCTGTCTGCTTTTGGCTTACGATTACTCAGTACAGATTAGTTTCGTTTTTAGTACAGATCAACTAATAACAATAGAACTAACGCCATAAAATATTTAATTTTAATAGGTTGTTTCATTCAGTAAGTGAAATTTAGATGAGCATAATTGTGAAATATCAAATGGTATTAAATTTGATTATGCGTTTGATTGGCTTTTCTGTTCCATGTTTTCTAAATACAAGCATACTGACTACCGGACGAAATTTGATTTGGCCCGACTCGCAATCCCGTTCCGAAATTAATTTTTTTTATTTTGATACCAGTTCCTGATGAGAAAAGTCCCTTACTCAGTTTGACAACTTCTCTTTGCTTAAAGAAAGTTCATTCCGGCCTCGTTATCATCAAAATCGAATATAAAAAATTCATTAATAATAACCTAACAATCTTCTATATATTAAAAAATGAAGCTTGTAAATTTGTTGTTTTGTTTAAATTTAATGCCGTATAACCTTTTGCAAATTTATTTACATCCTTCCAGAATATAACAGGAACCATTCAAAAGTAAAATTATTTTTATCCCGTATTCATTGATTCATAAGTTATACTGATGCAATTACTGCTGCTGATAGTTGCTAGCAATATACATACCAATTTGGTCTCATAAATTGTCGGGATTTAACATTTAAATCAAGTGGGATTCGTGGACCCACAAGGGTCCAGAGCACATTCTCCCTCGCAACAATTTGTTTGTGCAGCTTTGCTTAGCTGAGATATTCATAGTAGAGACCACTTAAAATACCTTATAGTTTGAGGGTTGCTCAAAATCAACAAACATCTAATTATTTCATTTATTTATTGCAGGAAGTAAAAGAAAAGCAGTCACAACGGCGTGGATCGCATTTTTGCTCGGAGTTATTATTTTCCACCGATTGGAGTAATTAATATTATAATTATATCGTATTGAGCACATAATTTACGTAGTTATTGTGGCATTTAAAACCAATCAAATTCGGTAATTTTAGTGACAATAAAATACCTGAAACAGACTGGCTGATATAAATACTTTAAGTTATTCATCTTTGGTGTGTTTTGGGCTGATTAAAGGTGACTTGCGTCTCCCCAACACTGTATGATTCCGTTCCGGGGGCAAATATTTGGGCTTCTCCTAATGGCCCCGAAGAGAGTATTGTGGCAACTTAAAATTTGCCCTGTAGTCATTATCATTTAAATAAACAAGCAAACTTGAATATTTTATTAATATTTACGTGATAGAAACTGTTAGAAAAAGTTTTAATGCTTTTTCAGCAGAAGATTATTAAGACGTGGTATCTGACCGTAAATCATTTGAACCAAACGATGAGCCTCACGTAATCCGAATAGACAAGTGGTTGGTTGTTTTGGAACGTGAATCATGAGATGTCTATTTATCATTACTCTCCGCAAATAAGTTTGCATGCTGTGGGATTTTTCTTTCATCTGACAAAAGTTTTATCATCAAGGTCGCACGATAAAAATGTTTGTTGCTGGTAAGAGAGATCTGAAAGGGTTCTTTTCAAACAATTGGCAAACTTGAGGTTCTTAATGACTTTAACGAATTGTTGAAAGAGGTAACGTTCAGTTATGATATGATAACACGAGTGCCTTTTGTTTATCACGTCATCATAAATGACTTTTTATAATTTTAAAATACACATATTAGAGTATGTAGGTATAGAATAGAATAGTATTAAAAGACGATTTGAATTTCTGAATGTAAGTCCCGCCGAGTCACGAATTTATGCAAAATATACACAAACATTTGAGTGAACAAAGGGAATGTTTTTAGGGATATACGAGAACCTGATGCAGTATATTCTTTTTCCTCGTATATAAAAAGCCGTTTAAAAAACGAAATTTTACAAACTTGAATAAACGCTGTTGAAAACTGAAAAAGAACAATTGCAGAAAACTGGAATTGGATGATTATGAATATAAAGCGGACGAACGCCGTTCGAAAATATCTCAGAGTGGAAAACTTTCTAAACTATTTTAAAAAATCGTGCCGTAGCAGTGTAAAAGTTTTTCGGCATTCTATATGCATGTGAACTCATGTTATCAAACATGAATTTCGTATAATTGAGTATACCACGAATTTTGGCTATGACATAATTGCAGTATGTGTAAAGCACAAAATTACGCAAAATCAAGGATTAAGACTTGAGGCAAAGATGCAACAGCAATTTTCAAAATGATGCAGACATACTTCAAATATACATTACCTACAGTCCTATTTTAACACACAAAAAAAGTTTTTGATCCATTAATCAAGAGGTCTGCCATCCATGGGAGTGATTGTACATTGCTATTTCTTGGATGGAAAAATACACTTACGCAAGTCTATGGCTTGGCCATACTTACTACCCACTGCTTAAATTGATCTTTCTCGATCTTTCAGTTCAAACACTCAACACATAAAACTTAAAAAGTTTTTACTCATTTGAATACTGTGATAAGTTGTTTAAACAAAGTGTCGCGTGACAGCTTACCAAAATAGAGCTAAGCACATTTAATCATAATTTAGGATAGGCGGATGTGAAAAGTGCTATTATACTTGCGCCAAATATTTGCTTTGCTTAAACACAGAAAAATTCTTAATCGTTATTGTCTTGTTATTTAGTCATCTTCCTTGCTATATCTAGGAATTTGTTCAAAAGAATAGATTCAAAGTTGAGTATGTTTTTGGGGTTAATTCGTGACTTGGCAGATCACACGGTGGGTTATTTTCGTGACCCGTGGACCAGTGATTTGCCACCCCAGTGCATGGGTAACAAATTATAAATGCTTTCCTTTGCCATGTAATAAAAAAAGGAAACGATCATCAATGAAGCGGCAATTATACTGTGGTTTGATAGACCTTTTTTCAATGGTTCTAGGTTATGCCCATGTTGGCTTACTCTTCCATTACTCTTCCTTCAATTTGAAGACAATGTTTCTCGTCAAATATAAAGTTGTTGTTTATAAGAAATAATTGGCTGATTATACTACAGTATACAATGTGTTTCTCGTGTGTCTTTTTTTGCAATTCTAAAGACAGTGTCGCACATCTTATATATCGTCGTTGTGGAGACGATTCATCGTCCAAAGAAGAAGCCACGACCATGCTAACTACTGGTAGTACAGATTCGGGCTGAACTGAATTTTTGCAGTTAATTTAAAAAACCCATACTGTGTTTCACATATGGATGTATTACTTGCTTGTACACAAGGGTGGTCAGTTTATGATCGACATGAGCTGGCTGAAAGTTTTTTCTATTGTTGTGCCAGTCGTTCATAAGATTGGATCATTCAATTGATTTTTGTTGTACCCTTTAAGTCGCAGACTTAAGCGGCATGGTTTCGATATTTTCGGAAAGATGGCTTCAATTTATCATTCAAAAAACCAGCATCTTTCATTCTTGAGCATTGCTCTGAGATATATTTTTAAGATGCTGTATTCCTTTCCGATTTCCTTCATGAAGGAATAAATCCATTCTTTTTTTTTTTAGCTAGAACAAGCATGCATTTTTGAAATTTTCCTTATTTATCGTTTTAAGTACATCTGCAAATTGGTCAAGTTTAACTTACGACCAGGCGAGCTATATGCGATATTATTGGTAACTTGTGGTATTGCTTCTAATTTCAGCCCAATTTTCCATACATTAAAGTAATCCAATTTGACCGAAGTAAATTTAGACCATTTGTTTTGTTTTTGAGAAAACCTGTACACTTGAGTATAATGGAGGTGAGGTGGAGGATACTACTTGGTCGCAATTGCTTTGATGGTAGAGGATCATCCAAAACAAACAATAACTGTTGATGGAAGCACCATTACAACATCAAATGTGCTCAGTAAAATTCCTCTACAATTTATCATTGATAGTAAGATTTATTTTTTTAATATTATCAACCTTGATCATGATAATATTAAATTTGATATACAATTTGATTTTCAGTATCATCGGCGGCGTCTTGCAACATAAACCCAACGTATCCACCATATTCTATTCAAGACGGAGAAACTTTCGTAATATCTGATACCGAAACGTTCAACGAGACCCTCTATGCGTACCCAAGCGGTTCTGGAGGAAGGTAATGTTTTCGATTCGAACAAAATATTTCTAAAGTTTGGTATATGGGTTGGTTAAAAATGTAACTACTTTTATATATTCTGACTAATTCATTAGACTGACAAAAATCTTGATGATATTGTCCTTCAGAAATAAAGCGATATGTTCCAATATGGCATAGCAAATATGACATAGTTTAATAGCAAACACGAGCAATATGATTTACACAATGCTTGAAATAAATAAGACTACTTTCGATGTCCAATATTTCATTTGAAATCATTATAATCGTCTCTTTATAATCTTTGAAAATCGCTATTCAGCATAACACAGTTTGTTGTCATTGGGCCTCTGGGGTTGCACCAGTCCGAGATAACTGATCATGGAAACGATCTTTTTTCCGTCGAACATGATTTGGGATGCAACATCCGATCAATCAGGCGATCACACAGTTTGCTACTACGCAGTGGATTCTAAAGGGTAAAATAGATCCTTTTGATATAACGCCAAAATACATATTTGATTCTAACGAGTTTTCTATTTACACTCTTTCAGGCTACATTCTGAACAAAGATGTTTCACTATAACTGTAACTGGTGAGTGTTTTTGGTAAAAATATATCTCCAGTAACAGTAGGTGAACAAAATTTTAGTATTGTAATCTTTTGGTATTTCATTGCTCTTTTTAATTCAGTAAATATTGATCCATGCGATGTCGACTATGGTGGGTGCAGTGACACTTGCATAACTGATACCAACTCGCACAGCTGCTTATGCGATTTAAATTGTTGGTCAATACACGACAATGACAGAACTTGTCTTCGTAAGTGATTTCATAATATCTTCGAATAATCTATAGGCTGTATAATGTAACCACACCCTACTTATATTAGTTTTGTTCACTCACTCATCGTTTGTGTTATTGTAAACTAATGTGAGAAAGCAAATGACAGAATAACGTTCTCTTGCTACTCTATCTCTGGTGTGTGATATTTAAAGCGATCTGACATACCTGAAGATTCGCACCATATGTAACGGTCTCTCCTAGTTTAAACCAATTTGTTCAAGCATGCGAAAACAAAATTCAAGTACAGCGGTAGGTTTGCTGTTTAGATCTTCCTCCCAACCAAAATTTCCGCCTATCGGCAATAAGCCACATGCTACAAGTGTTCGGGAATATGTGGTAACGAGTGCGTGGCGTCAAATCGTATAGGAAATTTTGTCGTTTTTACAGCCTTCTCGACGGTTGAATGTGACGGTCTTACAACGAACATCAGTATTGCAAACTGTGCATCAGAAGAAGTTATAATTGCTGGAGAACACAATAATCTAAATTCAGAATGTCAGTCAACCAGAGGAACTTCCCAACAGCATTTTTCATTGACCAGTGGGCAATGCGGAATGACAACTGAGGTAAAACTGATGTGACGTCTATATATATGTTCTTTATGCTTTATGTTTGAATATACGCAAATTCAAAAGAAGTTTTCGACAATAAACATGGTGTTTTCATATATTGCAAGCCTGAGTATTTCCTTAGTGAAAGCGTACTGGGAAAGAAACTTCAAAAATAAAAATTATTATTAGAGGCTGTACATACCGAAAAAGTATACTGCATTATACATATATAGATGAAGCATTTCCCATTTAGACACTAAGAGTTATATCTTTGTTTTAGTCTATCTATATTCTATATCAATTGGTTGTTGTAAAAAATCAATCAAAAAATATACAAATTTTTAATTAATGGGTAACTTGTGGTATTGCTTCTAATTTCAGCCCAATTTTCCATACATTAAAGTAATCCAATTTGACCGAAGTAAATTTAGACCATTTGTTTTGTTTTTGAGAAAACCTGTACACTTGAGTATAATGGAGGTGAGGTGGAGGATACTACTTGGTCGCAATTGCTTTGATGGTAGAGGATCATCCAAAACAAACAATAACTGTTGATGGAAGCACCATTACAACATCAAATGTGCTCAGTAAAATTCCTCTACAATTTATCATTGATAGTAAGATTTATTTTTTTAATATTATCAACCTTGATCATGATAATATTAAATTTGATATACAATTTGATTTTCAGTATCATCGGCGGCGTCTTGCAACATAAACCCAACGTATCCACCATATTCTATTCAAGACGGAGAAACTTTCGTAATATCTGATACCGAAACGTTCAACGAGACCCTCTATGCGTACCCAAGCGGTTCTGGAGGAAGGTAATGTTTTCGATTCGAACAAAATATTCCTAAAGTTTGGTATATGGGTTGGTTAAAAATGTAACTACTTTTATATATTCTGACTAATTCATTAGACTGACAAAAATCTTGATGATATTGTCCTTCAGAAATAAAGCGATATGTTACAATATGGCATAGCAAATATGATATAGTTTAATAGCAAACACGAGCAATATGATTTACACAATGCTTGAAATAAATAAGACTACTTTCGATGTCCAATATTTCATTTGAAATCATTATAATCGTCTATATATAATCTTCGAAAATGGCTATTCAGCATAACACAGTTTGTTGTCATTGGGCCTCTGGGGTTGCACCAGTCCGAGATAACTGATCATGGAAACGATCTTTTTTCGTCGAACATGATTTGGGATGCAACATCCGATCAATCAGGCGATCACACAGTTTGCTACTACGCAGTGGATTCTAAAGGGTAAAATAGATCCTTTTGATTTAAACGCCAAAATACATATTTGATTCTAACGAGTTTTCTATTTACACTCTTTCAGGCTACATTCTGAACAAAGATGTTTCACTATAACTGTAACTGGTGAGTGTTTTTGGTAAAAATATATCTCCAGTAACAGTAGGTGAACAAAATTTTAGAATTGTAATCTTTTGGTATTTCATTGCTCTTTTTAATTCAGTAAATATTGATCCATGCGATGTCGACTATGGTGGGTGCAGTGACACTTGCATAACTGATACCAACTCGCACAGCTGCTTATGCGATTTAAATTGTTGGTCAATACACGACAATGACAGAACTTGTCTTCGTAAGTGATTTCATGATATCTTCGAATAATCTATAGGCTGTATAATGTAACCACACCCTACTTATATTAGTTTTGTTCACTCACTCATCGTTTGTGTTATTGTAAACTAATGTGAGAAAGCAAATGACAGAATAACGTTCTCTTGCTACTCTATCTCTGGTGTGTGATATTTAAAGCGATCTGACATACCTGAAGATTCGCACCATATGTAACGGTCTCTCCTAGTTTAAACCAATTTGTTCAAGCATGCGAAAACAAAATTCAAGTACAGCGGTAGGTTTGCTGTTTAGATCTTCCTCCCAACCAAAATTTTCGCCTATCGGCAATAAGCCACATGCTACAAGTGTTCGGGAATATGTGGTAACGAGTGCGTGGCGTCAAATCGTATAGGACATTTTGTCGTTTTTACAGCCTTCTCGACGGTTGAATGTGACGGTCTTATAGCAACTAACCCCCAAATGTACCCCATCTCATGTTGAAATCATCAAAACAAAGTTAATTTTTCCCAAAATTCGAACAACGACTTTCGTAGGAATCAAATTACACCAGTTTTAAGAACATAACAGGTTCCACCTAGTCATTATCAAATTAAAATTTATATTCTCAAGACCTTTGGCACTGATTGAAATAATTATCTCTAAGTTCCCATCCGTACGATGTACCTAATTACCCTTATTGAGATAATAGGAGTTCCTGTTTATAACGTGAATCACGAGCTCACGTTTACAGCATTTAATTGGATTTATGATCAACGTATAAATACGAATCCGATATCTTTCGATGAGGAGAGAAGACGATGTAAACCATTCTAAGCTAGTCTGGATAAATGTTATAAGATTTATATTCTGTGTGTTGTGGAAATATACGAATAAAAACATATAGAGATTTTTAACGCATCTTCATTCACGTGGGCGTTGAAGCTGAAGGGTGAACGGGTGACTTACAAGTCAGAGACAATCTACGAAATAGCAATATACGGTAACATCACATTCATTTACCAATCATATATGCTATAAATGGTGACAAAACCGACTTGAATTAACCTTCTGAAAAACGGACCAGATCAACGGACAACAATCAGGACAGGCAACAATTGGAAGGAATCAACCAAAAGCAGACCAAGCGAAAGCTTTCAACAATTGCCGAGAAACCGTCTCTACAAAACGTGCGAAAATCAAATTCGACCAACTTACGAACGTCGGGGAGATTCAAATTGCCTGGAACAACGAGTGAAGTATCAAATTGCTGACAAGCCGAAATAATCAAAAACATTATGAAAAGACAATAATCTCAATTGAAAACAGTTGAACTATGGTAACGGACTCTGGAAACGTCAAAATCATGAATATGGACTGTATTGAACATCGATCGAAATGAACTTTTTTAGAAAATGATATATGTTCGAGGTGAAAAACCTAATCAAAAAACGAACTGTTGAAAACAATGAACTATATGGACTGTTTTACGGTAAATCACGCGCTCTATTCCGAACAATAGAGAAATTGTCGCGCTTACCTAATGGATATACAGATCAGGAGCATGTTATTCTACAATTTGTTTCATGATTTTCAGGTTTTTCTTCTCATTGAGACAGACATTTTTCATTCTTCCACTAATACTAAGGTAAAGTACTTCTTTGTCTTCTTAAATATACATGGCGTTTCATTCGGTTTTTAATTTTTATAAATTAATTTATGGTAACAACTTTGAATATTCTAATTTCAAATACCTTTCAAGAGATTTATATTATTAAATATTTGTGGTTAGCATTCCTTTTCGATTAAATAGATTTCGTTAGAATTAAAATGCTTTCTAAAAGTAGATTCGAGCGAGTCATACTTTTAATTATTTACAAAGCCGTCATATAGAACGGTGAAATAATAAGCTCGTTAAACAAAAATTGTATCAAAAGCGTTATTTTTTCAAAAAAGCCCTGAGATGGCATAAACTTAAAAATGCGTTTTTTCTTCCCGACATGGGACAAGCATATATTGACCAACTAGGTCGCAACGCGTTTTTTCTTCCCGACATGGGACAAGCATATATTGACCAACTAGGTCTACAAAATCGTAACAATGCGATATTGCGAGCATTGAGTATTTTAGCGTAGCGAAATACATTAACTTGAAAATATGTTTTAACCGTCCAAACCAAAGTTTTTCAAATAAAAATACGCCATCCTTCTGTAATTCTACTTTACAGCCTTTACTCTTTCTATAAACTCTTCTTTATTTCAATGTCGTGTCTCATTGTAGATCATATACATGTAAATATTTTTTTGACCTATATCATTAATTTTAGCATTGTGTATTGTATTTTTTTTATATATTTTCGATTTATTTGAGGTGCCAAATCTTTAAACTTTCAGTTAGTAAGATGGGAAGATAATATAGCAACTAACCCCCAAATGTACCCCATCTCATGTTGAAATCATCAAAACAAAGTTAATTTTTCCCAAAATTCGAACAACGACTTTCGTAGGAATCAAATTACACCAGTTTTAAGAACATAACAGGTTCCACCCAGTCATTATCAAATTAAAATTTATATTCTCAAGACCTTTGGCACTGATTGAAATAATTATCTCTAAGTTCCCATCCGTACGATGTACCTAATTACCCTTATTGAGATAATAGGAGTTCCTGTTTATAACGTGAATCACGAGCTCACGTTTACAGCATTTAATTGGATTTATGATCAACGTATAAATACGACTCCGATATCTTTCGATGAGGAGAGAAGACGATGTAAACCATTCTAAGCTAGTCTGGATAAATGTTATAAGATTTATATTCTGTGTGTTGTGGAAATATACGAATAAAAACATATAGAGATTTTTAACGCATCTTCATTCACGTGGGCGTTGAAGCTGAAGGGTGAACGGGTGACGTACAAGTCAGAGACAATCTACGAAATAGCAATATACGGTAACATCACATTCATTTACCAATCATATATGCTATAGTCTTACAACGAACATCAGTATTGCAAACTGTGCATCAGAAGAAGTTATATTTGCTGGAGAACACAATAATCTAAATTCAGAATGTCAGTCAACCAGAGGAACTTCCCAACAGCATCTTTCATTGACCAGTGGGCAATGCGGAATGACAACTGAGGTAAAACTGATGTGACGTCTATATATATGTTCTTTATGCTTTATGTTTGAATATACGCAAATTCAAAAGAAGTTTTCGACAATAAACATGGTGTTTTCATATATTGCAAGCCTGAGTATTTCCTTCGTGAAAGCGTACTGGGAAAGAAACTTCAAAAATAAAAATTATTATTAGAGGCTGTACATACCGAAAAAGTATACTGCATTATACATATATAGATGAAGCATTTCCCATTTAGACACTAAGAGTTATATCTTTGTTTTAGTCTATCTATATTCTATATCAATTGGTTGTTGTAAAAAATCAATCAAAAAATATACAAATTTTTAATTAATGGGTAACTTGTGGTATTGCTCCTAATTTCAGCCCAATTTTCCATACATTAAAGTAATCCAATTTGACCGAAGTAAATTTAGACCATTTGTTTTGTTTTTGAGAAAACCTGTACACTTGAGTATAATGGAGGTGAGGTGGAGGATACTACTTGGTCGCAATTGCTTTGATGGTAGAGGATCATCCAAAACAAACAATAACTGTTGATGGAAGCACCATTACAACATCAAATGTGCTCAGTAAAATTCCTCTACAATTTATCATTGATAGTAAGATTTATTTTTTTAATATTATCAACCTTGATCATGATAATATTAAATTTGATATACAATTTGATTTTCAGTATCATCGGCGGCGTCTTGCAACATAAACCCAACGTATCCACCATATTCTATTCAAGACGGAGAAACTTTCGTAATATCTGATACCGAAACGTTCAACGAGACCCTCTATGCGTACCCAAGCGGTTCTGGAGGAAGGTAATGTTTTCGATTCGAACAAAATATTTCTAAAGTTTGGTATATGGGTTGGTTAAAAATGTAACTACTTTTATATATTCTGACTAATCATTAGACTGACAAAAATCCTGAAGATATTGTCCTTCAGAAATAAAGCGATATGTTCCAATATGGCATAGCAAATATGACATAGTTTAATAGCAAACACGAGCAATATGATTTACACAATGCTTGAAATAAATAAGACTACTTTCGATGTCCAATATTTCATTTGAAATCATTATAATCGTCTATATATAATCTTCGAAAATCGATATTCAGCATAACACAGTTTGTTGTCATTGGGCCTCTGGGGTTGCACCAGTCCGAGATAACTGATCATGGAAACGATCTTTTTTCGTCGAACATGATTTGGGATGCAACATCCGATCAATCAGGCGATCACACAGTTTGCTACTACGCAGTGGATTCTAAAGGGTAAAATAGATCCTTTTGATTTAAACGCCAAAATACATATTTGATTCTAACGAGTTTTCTATTTACACTCTTTCAGGCTACATTCTGAACAAAGATGTTTCACTATAACTGTAACTGGTGAGTGTTTTTGGTAAAAATATATCTCCAGTAACAGTAGGTGAACAAAATTTTAGAATTGTAATCTTTTGGTATTTCATTGCTCTTTTTAATTCAGTAAATATTGATCCATGCGATGTCGACTATGGTGGGTGCAGTGACACTTGCATAACTGATACCAACTCGCACAGCTGCTTATGCGATTTAAATTGTTGGTCAATACACGACAATGACAGAACTTGTCTTCGTAAGTGATTTCATAATATCTTCGAATAATCTATAGGCTGTATAATGTAACCACACCCTACTTATATTAGTTTTGTTCACTCACTCATCGTTTGTGTTATTGTAAACTAATGTGAGAAAGCAAATGACAGAATAACGTTCTCTTGCTACTCTATCTCTGGTGTGTGATATTTAAAGCGATCTGACATACCTGAAGATTCGCACCATATGTAACGGTCTCTCCTAGTTTAAACCAATTTGTTCAAGCATGCGAAAACAAAATTCAAGTACAGCGGTAGGTTTGCTGTTTAGATCTTCCTCCCAACCAAAATTTTCGCCTATCGGCAATAAGCCACATGCTACAAGTGTTCGGGAATATGTGGTAACGAGTGCGTGGCGTCAAATCGTATAGGACATTTTGTCGTTTTTACAGCCTTCTCGACGGTTGAATGTGACGGTCTTACAACGAACATCAGTATTGCAAACTGTGCATCAGAAGAAGTTATATTTGCTGGAGAACACAATAATCTAAGTTCAGAATGTCAGTCAACCAGAGGAACTTCCCAACAGCATCTTTCATTGACCAGTGGGCAATGCGGAATGACAACTGAGGTAAAACTGATGTGACGTCTATATATATGTTCTTTATGCTTTATGTTTGAATATACGCAAATTCAAAAGAAGTTTTCGACAATAAACATGGAGTTTTCATATATTGCAAGCCTGAGTATTTCCTTCGTGAAAGCGTACTGGGAAAGAAACTTCAAAAATAAAAATTATTATTAGAGGCTGTACATACCGAAAAAGTATACTGCATTATACATATATAGATGAAGCATTTCCCATTTAGACACTAAGAGTTATATCTTTGTTTTAGTCTATCTATATTCTATATCAATTGGTTGCTGTAAAAAATCAATCAAAAAATATACAAATTTTTAATTAATGCTGAAGCCGTGCAATTATTTTTAATGTGGCTTCAAAACATTTCTTCGAAGTATAAAAGTCTATTTGCATTGGCAGTCCAGTGCCGCTGGCATCCAATATGCAACCGTCATTTTTGTCTACAAAGAAGATACTGCTGGATCCAGCTCTGTCATAACGAGAGGTGAATGGGTACAGATATCAGTTGTTTGTACTTTACCAGCATCATCAAATTTAACCGGATCTTTTGTACCTGAAGTTCCGATTACTGGTGATAATGTACAAAATGAGGTTTCTATTGAAGGAATGGGAACATTTGTGTTTTCGTTTGATATTTACCGTACAGAAAGTTTCACGGTAAGTTTTGTAAAAATATGTTAAAAAAATTCATATCAGTTATTCTGAGAGTCAGAGGAACCCACGGACTGGACGGACAACGTTTTAGTCGCGAATGACAAGAGACACCCGAACACACGAGTGCGACGCTGATACCTGATTATGGTGTAGCGTAGATTGAGTCCCGTTCTCAAGATTAATATACAAACGCCATTTTTTAGCTTGCAAATTCTACACGAAGACATAGCAAACGTTTTTTTTTATATTTCTCAGACAGCTTATAGTCCAGCCGAATACCCAGTAGAAGTTTCTATCGATGATGACATATACTTTGCACTTCAAGCGGTTGGGCGGGGCGATTTGACTTTGTTCACAGAAGAATGCGTAGCGTTGTCAACCGAGACGATAACTCCAACAACTTTAGAATATCCCTTTATATCAGCTGGGTAATTTGTTTATATATTTCGTGAATGTTCATTTAGTGCACATATCTGAACAATGTTTATATTATGTCATGCAAAGATCATATCATTTGAAGGTTGAAGCGGTTCATCATTAAAGTAGTATTGAAAGAAGTTTTTATTTCATCACCAGTCAATAATTATTGTGCAAATATTGTAAATTCAGTCGTTTGGTTGAAATTTATTATATTGAATGAAACTTATAACACAGGCACTAAGCTGTTTCCGTCATACATAGTGGGTTATTATTTTCTCAGATGTCTCGAGGATCCTACGATAGAAAAATATTCATCAGATAATCCTCTTGAAAACAGATTCAGCATACAAGCGTTTCAATTTGCAGACACACTACTTGCTTCGAAGGAAGATGCAGCAGTTTATATACAGGTTTGTGAAATTTGAAAAAGGAACTGTGCTTGTACCTTTTTTGTTCCCTAGATTAAACACAGTCAAATTTTTTTTTCAGTGTTCTGTACTTCTGTGTGATTTATCAAATACTACGAGATGTTATCAAGGATGCGTATCTTCAACATTCAGAGACAAAAGGTATGTCACTAGTTTTCACGTTTCAATAAATGCATTGTTGTTCCTGTTGTTCGTCAGACGATGTCACTTTTATTTAACGACTGTTGCAAAATGCGCTCCATTCTGTTAGGCCAGTAATATTCTATCAGCTGTCTTCAACAGGTAAATGTTTTGTTTTGTGAACGGCTTTGCTACTGGGGACGCCATTTCAGTACTTGCAATGTTCTTCGTCATATAATACATCAACAATGCGTTGTTGTGTATGTTTTCGTTCTGGCATGCTCTCGTCACGAGACATCGCTGATAAGTCATTTAATATTCCATAATTTATTGTTGCCTTCATTTGATCTATTTGAATCTATTCCTAATATTTCAATAATTATTATATACATGAAAAATATGTGGAACTTAAAGTTACAAAACAAATTACTGTATTACATAATATATAACTTATATACTCATTATAATATTGACAGATCAATTCTACAGCACGATTCTATTGTTAGAGCTAACTTAGCAAAGAACGATAGTGATAACCAAGATGTCGAGGATGACGACGACGATGAGATTCCTCTCACCACCAAAGAATCTTCTCCGCAAACCATTTCAAACGCGCTGGTTTTGATATTTGATGATGATGGTGGTAATGATAACGACGGCGGAAACGGTGAGAAACCTGTTTTGCATCTGGCTGTCTGCTTTTGGCTTACGATTACTCAGTACAGATTAGTTTCGTTTTTAGTACAGAATAACTAATAACAATAGAACTAGGTTGAACGCCATAAAATATTTAATTTTAATAGGTTGTTTCATTCAGTAAGTGAAATTTAAATGAGCATAATTGTGAAATATCAAATGGTATTAAGTTTGATTATGCGTTTGATTGGCTTTTCTGTTCCATGTTTTCTAAATACAAGCATACTGACTACCGGACGAAATTTGATTTGGCCCGACTCGCAACCCCGTTCCGAAATCAATTTTTTTTATTTTGATACCAGTTCCTGATAAGAAAAGTCCCTTACTCAGTTTGACAACTTCTCTTTGCTTAAAGAAAGTTCATTCCGGCCTCGTTATCATCAAAACCGAATATGAAAAATTCATTAATAATAACCTAACAATCTTCTATTTATTAAAAAATGAAGCTTGTAAATTTGTTGTTTCGTTTAAATTTAATGCCGTATAACCTTTTGCGAATTTATTTACATCCTTCCAGAATATAACAGGAACCATTCAAAAGTAAAATTATTTTTATCCCGTATTCATTGATTCATAAGTTATACTGATGCAATTACTGCTGCTGATAGTTGCTAGCAATATACATACCAATGTGGTCTCATAAATTGCAGGGATTTAAAATTTGAATCAAGTGGGATTCGTGTACCCACAAGGGTCCAGAGCACATTCTCCCTCGCAACAATTTGTTTGTGCAGCTTTGCTTAGCTGAGATATTTATAGTAGAGACCACTTAAAATACCTTATAGTTTGAGGTTGCTCAAAATCAACAAACATCTAATTATTTCATTTATTTATTGCAGGAAGTAAAAGAAAAGCAGTCACAACGGCGTGGATCGCATTTTTGCTCGGAGTTATTATTTTCCACCGATTGGAGTAATTAATATTATAATTATATCGTATTGAGCACATAATTTACGTAGTTATTGTGGCATTTAAAACCAATCAAATTCGGTAATTTTAGTCGCAATAAAATACCTGAAACAGACTGGCTGATATATTTTAAGTTATTCATCTTTGGTGTGTTTTGGGCTGATTAAAGGTAACTTGCGTCTCCCCAACACTGTATAATTCCGTTCCGGGGGCAAATATTTGGGCTTCTCCTAATGGCCCCGAAGAGAGTATTGTGACAACCATAATCCTGGTCAGTGGACACTGTTAAAGATGATTTCATATCAGTAAATTTCCAATAGCAACTGAACTGAATACACTTGTCCATTTCAGCTCATTACTTTCGTATCATTGATGTGGGGTGGACCAAATTTGTATTTTTAATCAATGTTGTAGGCATAATATGGGTGTGTATAATTTTTGACGTTTTATTTCTCCCAATTCACAGCTGATATAGGTCTCTGTCTTGAGAAAGTACTGCATTTTCTAGAATATATAGTTGGCTAGAATCATATCAGCGAGTTTGAATATAATAAAGAACTTCGCAACAATTCTTTTGAACTATAGGAAGAGCGTTCTAAGTTACCACAACGTCAGCAAAAATGTGCTGTCACTGATGGTTATTTCATTCACGTCAGCACGTCCACATTACTGATTAAAATTTGCCCTGTAGTCATTATCATTTAAATAAACAAGCAAACTTGAATATTTCATTAATATTTACCTGATAGAAACTGTTAGAAAAAGTTTTAATGCTGTTTCAGCAAAAGATTATTAAGACCGTAAATCATTTGAACCAAACGATGAGCCTCACGTAATCCTAATAGACAAGTGGTTGGTTGTTTTGGAACGTGAATCATGAGATGTCTATTTATCATTACTCTCCGCAAACAAGTTTGCATGCTGTGGGATTTTTCTTTTATCTGACAAAAGTTTTATCATCAAGGTCGCACGATAAAAATGTTTGTTGCTGGTCAGAGAGATCTGAAAGGTTTTTTTTTCAAACAATTGGCAAACTTGAGGTTCTTAACGACTTAAACGAATTGTTGAAAGAGGTGAAGTTCAGTTATGATATGATAACACGAGTGCTTTTTGTTTATCACGTCATCAGAAATGACTTTTTATAATTTTAAAATACACATATTAGAGTATGTAGGTATAGAATAGATAAATAGTATTAAAAGACGATTTGAATTTCTGAATGTAAGTACCGCCGAGTCACGAATTAATGCAAAATATACACAAACATTTGAGTGAACAAAGTGAATGTTTTTAGGGATATACGAGAACCTGATGCAGTATATTTTTTTTCCTCGTATATACAAAGCCGTTTAAAAAACTAAATTTTACAAACTTGAATAAACGCTGTTGAAAACTGAAAAAGAACAATCTGAACAATTGCAGAAAACTGGAATTGGATGATTATGAACATAAAACGAACGAACGTCGTTCAAAAATAACTTAGAGTGGAAAACTTTCTAAACTATTTTAAAAAATCGTGCCGTAGCAGTGTAAAAGTTTTTCGGCATTCTATATGCATGTGCAATATACATACCATTGGTCTCATAAATTGCCGGGATTTAAAATTTGAATCAAGTGGGATTCGTGGATACACAAGGGCCCAGAGCACATTCTTCCTCGCAACAATTTGTTTGTGCAGTTTTGCTTAGCTAATATATTCCTAGTAGAGACCACTTAAAATACCTTAAAATTTTGGGGTTGCTCAGAATAAACAAACATCTAATTATTTCACTTATTTAATGCAGGAAGTAAAAGAAAAGCAGTCACAACGGCATGGATCGCATTTTTCCTCGGAGGTATTATTTTCCACCGATTGGAGTAATTAATATTATAATTATATCGTATTGCAGCAAATAATTGACGTAGTTATTGTGGCATTTAAAACCAATCAAATTCGGTAATTTTAGTCGCAATAAAATACCTGAAACAAACTGTCTGATATATTTTTGAGTTATTCATCTTTGGTGTGTTTTGGGGTGATTACAGGTGACTTGCGTCTCCCCACCACTGTATGATTCCGTTCCGGGGGCAAATATTTGGGCTTTTTCTAATGGACCCGAAGAGGGTACTGTGACAATCATAATTCTGGTCAGTGGACACTGTTAAAGATGATTTCATATCAGTAAATTGCCAATAGCCACTGAGCTGAATACATTTGTTCAATTCAGCTCATTACTTTCGTATCATTGATGTGGGGTGGACCAAACTTGTATTTTTAATCAATGTTGTATGTTAGGCATAATATGGGTGTGTATAATTTTTGACGTTTTATTTCTTCCAATTCACAGCTGATATAGGTCTCTGCCTTGAGAAAGTACTACATTTTTTAGAATATATATTAGGCTAGAATCATATCAGCGAGTTTGAATATAATAAAGAACTTCGCAAAAATTCTTTTGGACTATAGCAGGGGTGTGCAAAGGGCGGCCCGCGGGCCAAATGCGGCCCGCAAGTGAAAATTGTGCGGCCCGCGGACGCAACTGGAGAGCAGTTTAAAAAAAATAATATTAAAAGATACAAAAGCTAACTGAGTTTTGGTTACAATCTATCGGTTGATTTTGTCTAAATCCAACCTAGAATAAGATTTGACAGCAAATTATTTGAAATGAATCTTGGCGTATTTTACAGAAAACATCTCAATCAAAATAACTTTCCACATTTGAAAAAAACCATGGCTTCAAATATGGCACTTTTCGGTAACATATTTGTTTTCTAAAATGGGCGTCATTTAGAATTGCTAGCACTTCCATTAAAGCAAATTTGGATAAAAGTAGTCGGGAAAAGAATCCAGCAGCAAACTTCTCACTGAATTCGTTCAAATTGGGTGTGACAGTATTTTTGAATTACAGTTTTAAGGAATTTATGCATTTCAACTCATCATTTCTGCAAGGACCCCCAATGATGACATGAGATCAATAACAAAAAGACATCATTTTGTGCCTGCAACTAATAGAAAGCCTGTGTTAAAAGTAGGTGCGGCCCGCGGTTTCACCCGGTTATTGATATTTGGCCCGCGTACGAAAAAGGTTGCACACCCCTGGACTATAGGAAGAGCGTTCTCAGTTACCACAACGTCAGCAAAATTGTGCTGTGCTGTCACTTCAGCACGTCCACATTACTGATTAAAATTTGCCCTGTAGTCATTATCATTCAAATAAACAAGCAAAGTTGAATATTTCATTAATATTTACCTGATTAATGTTAAAAAAGTTTTAATGCTGTTTCAGCAGAAGATTATTAGGACATGGTATCTGCCCGTAAATCATTTGAACCAAACGATGAGCCTCACGTAATCCTAATAGACAAGTGGTTGGTTGTTTTGGAACGTGACTCATTAGATGTCTATTCATCATTACTCCCCGCAAATAAGTTTGCGTGCTGTGGGTTTTTTCTTTTATCTGACAAAAGTTTTATCATCAAGGTCGCACGATAAAAATGTTTGTTGCTGGTCAGAGAGATCTGAAAGTTTTTTTTTTAAACAATTGGCAAACTTGAGGTTCTTAACGACTTAAACGAATTGTTGAAAGAGGTGAAGTTCAGTTATGATATGATAACACGAGTGCTTTTTGTTTATCACGACATCAGAAATGACTTTTTATAATTTTAAAATACACATATTAGAGTATGTAGGTATAGAATAGATACATAGTATTAAAAGACGATTTGAATTTCTGAATATAAGTCCCGCCGAGTCACGAATTAATGCGAAATATACACAAACATTTGAGTGAACAAAGTGAATGTTTTTAGGGATATACGAGAACCTGATGCAGTATATTTTTTTCCTCGTATATACAAAGCCGTTTAAAAAACGAAATTTTACAAACTTGAATAAACGCTGTTGAAAACTGAAAAAGAACAATCTGAACAATTGCAGAAAACTGGAATTGGATGATTATGAACATAAAACGGACGAACGTCGTTCGAAAATATCTCAGAGTGGAAAACTTTCTAAACTATTTTAAAAAATCGTGCCGTAGCAGTGTAAAAGTTTTTCGGCATTCTATATGCATGTGCAATATACATACCATTGGTCTCATAAATTGCCGGGATTTAAAATTTGAATCAAGTGGGATTCAAGATCCCACGAGGGCCCAGAGCACATTCTCCCTCGCAACAATTTGTTTGTGCAGTTTTGCTTAGCTGAGATATTTCTAGTAGAGACCACTTAAAATACCTTATAGTATGGGGTTGCTCAAAATAAACAAACATCTAATTATTTCATTTAGTTATTGCAGGAAGTAAAAGAAAAGCAGTCACAACGGCGTGGATCGCATTTTTGCTCGGAGTTATTATTTTCCACCGATTGGAGTAATTAATATTATAATTATATCGTATTGAGCACATAATTGACGTAGTTATTGTGGCATTTAAAACCAATCAAATTCGGTAATTTTAGTCGCAATAAAATACCTGAAACAAACTGGCTAATATATTTTTGAGTTATTCATCTTTGGTGTGTTTTGGGCTGATTACAGGTGACTTGCGTCTCCCCACCACTGTATGATTCCGTTCCGGGGGCAAATATTTGGGCTTTTTCTAATGGACCCGAAGAGGGTACTGTGACAACCATAATCCTGGTCAGTGGACACTGTTAAAGATGATTTCATATCAGTAAATTGCCAATAGCAACTGAGCTGAATACACTTGTCCATTTCAGCTCATTACTTTCGTATCATTGATGTGGGGTGGACCAAACTTGTATTTTTAATCAATGTTGTAGGCATAATATGGGTGTGTATAATTTTTGACGTTTTATTTCTTCCAATTCACAGCTGATATAGGTCTCTGCCTTGAGAAAGTACTACATTTTTTAGAATATATATTTGGCTAGAATCATATCAGCGAGTTTGAATATAATAAAGAACTTCGCAACAATTCTTTTGGACTATAGCAGGGGTGTGCAAAGGGCGGCCCGCAAGTGAAAATTGTGCGGCCCGCGGACGCAACTGGAGAGCAGTTTAAAAAAAATAATATTAAAAGATACAAAAGCTAACTGAGTTTTGGTTACAATCTATCGGATTCGGTTGATTTTGTCTAAATCCAACCTAGAATAAGATTTGACAGCAAATTATTTGAAATGAATCTTGGCGTATTTTACAGAAAACATCTCAATCAAAATAACTTTCCACATTTGAAAAAAAACCATGGCTTCAAATATGGCACTTTTCGGTAACATATTTTTTTTCTAAAATGAGCGTCATTTAGAATTGCTAGCACTTCCATTTAAGCAAATTTGGATAAAAGTAGTCGGGAAAAGAATCCAGCAGCAAACTTCTCACTGAATTCGTTCAAATTGGGTGTGACAGTATATTTGAATTACAGTTTTAAGGAATTTATGCATTTCAACTCATCATTTCTGCAAGGACCCCCAATGATGACATGAGATCAATAACAAAAAGACATCATTTTGTGCCTGCAACTAATAGAAAGCCTGTGTTAAAAGTAGGTGCGGCCCGCGGTTTCACCCGGTTATTGATATTTGGCCCGCGTACGAAAAAGGTTGCACACCCCTGGACTATAGGAAGAGCGTTCTCAGTTACCACAACGTCAGCAAAATTGTGCTGTGCTGTCACGTCAGCACGTCCACATTACTGATTAAAATTTGCCCTGTAGTCATTATCATTTAAATAAACAA